GAGCTTCTAGAGAAGTCTTTGTCGCTTTTTTCTTTTGGCATGTCAAATGCAATTTTAATTTGGCTGCCCTTTGCATATCCGAGCTCCTTACAACTTGGCAAAGCATCAAAAGCATCAAAATGAATATACATTACAGGCAAGCTTATAATAGTTTTTGCTGTACCCATACATATACGAGTACTTACATACATATATATAGTATGTATATAGCCATTATACTCGCAGTCTGTGAGAATCGTGTCCACATTTGGGGCTTAATATTTGTACAAGTATTGGTTAAGTGCATTGGTTGCTGCGGCTTTGCAGCCTCACAGTCCCGCAGCCGCAATCCGCATGGATTGAAGGAAAATTTGAAATGCAGGTGCTTTGCAAACAAATATTCATAAATCAACACACACACATACACACGCACACACATACATACACACACATACAATTGATTTAAATATGAAAACGGAAATTCACGAATGAACGATGCTGAAAATTGTGAGTTTGTGCAATTGTTTTCCTTCAATTATTTGCCCGAGCTGTGCATTTTAAACCTTTCAATTAATCAGAAAGATAAAAAAAATTAAATGAAATAATATGCACATTAATATGGGTTAATAATACAAACGAAAAATTTGTAGCTGATGCCAAAGTGCAATCCAATTTGTTAGAGGGGTCGAGCTTGTTTTCGATTTGAAACTCTAGAGTCTAGACCATAAATACAACCTTAATGCCTCTTTTTGTACCTTCTATTTCTTTTCTCAATATGTGGTCTACTCTTGATTAAAAACTTTAATAGATTATATGGGAGAATGGTGAGAAAATCAAAAAACTACTAATGGTGTTTCTAATTAAATGATGACCGGTAAATAATATCGAAATATGCTAAATAAAAGTTGCAAATAAATAGATGACTGTTATTCGCAAAATTTGACATATATAGTATGGTATGGAAAAAATGTACACCCGCAGAAAAAGTCGTGTAAAAAAAGACATTGATGATGTTACTTTGAATCGTGCTAAATGCAATAAAATCGTTTAACCATTTATAAAATTATATATTACATTAATTTTCAAGCCGTGTTAAATCAAAACCGTGTAAAAGGGGACCTTGTAAAACCAGAATTAGGTGTATAGGTTTATATACAGAAAAAGATATTAGACTTATTAAAGTGTAGATCAAATGTAGACCAAATTAAGTATTAAGACTCTGCTACTTCTACAAAACCCCCCATCTCCCTTTCCCACGCTACATTTTTCTGCCCATACTGCCCAAAACTAAAATCTAAAAATTTACTCCAAAAAAATAGCAATTCTCGGTTTATAAAAGGATATAGACTTTGACCAAAAAGTTAATATATACAAGTATTTCCAATGCAATAACAAAACGATATGTTCTATTCTATTCTGTATTTGAAAGAAGAGTTTGGGGAGAGCTTAAAAAAATTTTACAATTTTTGGGAATTCACTTTATTTTCAAAAATTCTTACTTGCTAAGAGTTTGCAAATTTTCTGTTATTTTAGATGATTGTACTATTAGTAGTTTAGTATGTATTTAGTTTTAGTTAAAACTTTCACACTTCTTGCAATATTTGTCCATTTTTTTTTTTTTGCATTATATTCAAAAATGTAGATTTAGAGAATGTAGAGCGATTAGTTGGCGATATTCTCTAGTTCTTCGGAACGCGATCGATTTTTCAGTGCGATGGCGAAATAAACGGCTCCAACAGTGATAACAACCAAAGCAACAGCCACGAAGAAATATGCTACAATGACCAATATTTTTGGACCTCTACTACAACTGCCATCAATTTTGCAATCTTGACAAATCATTGTGTTATTATTCTTAACAAGAATAAATTTATCCCTGCACATACATACATCGGGCGCAATACATTGGCCATTAATGCAGGAAAGCTTACACACGGCTCTACAAACATTCTCGCCATCCATCTTGTATCCGCTATGGCAGTCACATATATCAGGCTTGATGCAGGAACCGTTCGGTCCACAATTATAATTGCATTTCGGGAGGCAATACGGGGTTGTCGTGTTGACTTTGTCGATCCATTTCTCGTTTATTTTGTAACCCTCCTCACACATGCAGATTCCTAGTCCTTTAAGTGAACTGTGCAGAGGACAACTTTTACTTTGCACGTCAGTTTCCTTGTTAAGAAAGAGAAAGGGAATTTTAGTTACTATTCCTAGAACAAGGCTATAATCTAAAATTGAAAATGAAATTTTCTGAAAGTGCTGACCAAAGCTATTTTAATCGCTTTTTTAATTAATAATGTATTCTTTTTCCTCGATTACCAATTAGTTGAAATGTTTATTATTTTCAATACTGTAATACACATTCGTCTGAAATCTAAAATAATTTGTTGTAAAAATCCTGAAAATTTGCACAAATCAAAGCCTTGTGATAGATCCAAACTGCTAGCCGATCGCTATTTTAATGAATAATTTATTCGGTTTCTCGTATCATCTATAAGACCCCGAATACAACTTTGTGGATACGAATACAACTTAGTTGAAAGGCTTAGCATTTGTGGTAATCGACATTAATCTCAAATTTAAAGTAATTTGTTCTGAAAATCGTGAAAATTTTCAAAATAAATCCAAACTACTAGCCGATCGCTATTTTAATGAATAATTTATTCTGTTTCTCGTATCATCTATAAGACCCCGAATACAACTTTGTGGATACGAATACAACTTAGTTGAAAGGCTTAGCATTTGTGGTAATCGACATTAATCTCAAATTTAAAGTAATTTGTTCTGAAAATCGTGAAAATTTTCAAAATAAATCCAAACTACTAGCCGATCGCTATTTTAATGAATAATTTATTCTGTTTCTCGTATCATCTATAAGACCCCGAATACAATTTTGTGGATACGAATACAACTTAGTTGAAAGGCTTAGCATTTGTGGTAATCGACATTAATCTCAAATTTAAAGTAATTTGTTCTGAAAATCGTGAAAATTTTCAAAATAAATCCAAACTACTAGCCGATCGCTATTTTAATGAATAATTTATTCTGTTTCTCGTATCATCTATAAGACCCCGAATACAACTTTGTGGATACGAATACAACTTAGTTGAAAGGCTTAGCATTTGTGGTAATCGACATTAATCTCAAATTTAAAGTAATTTGTTCTGAAAATCGTGATTATTTTCAAAATAAATCCAAACTACTAGCCGATCGCTATTTTAATGAATAATTTATTATGTTTCTCGCATCATCTATAAGACCCCGAATACAACTTTGTGGATTACGAATACAACTTAGTTGAAAGGCTTAGCATTTTCAATTCTGTAGTTCATTAATTTAATCTCAAATTTAAAATAATTTGTTCTGAAAATCGTGAAAAATTTCAAAATAAATCCAAACTACTAGCCGATCGCTATTTTAATGAATAATTTATTATGTTTCTCGTATCATCTATAAGACCCCGAATACAACTTAGTTGAAAGACTTAATTTTTAAATTCTGTAATCCACATTCTTCTTCTATCAACAAAATCTGTTCGGCATTATAATAGGTATTCCCACAATAAAGCAAATTTGATTGCACCACTCGTAATCACCTTAGTCCGATAATTTAAGCTAGCTCCCTAGATAGGAGTACAAGTATGCAAAGTAATCACCTCTTGGGGGCTTGTTGGTCCTGCAACATGATTTGTAGCTTCCTCATTATGAGACTCAACTTCATCGGCAGCCAAGGAACCGCTCCATAAACTAAAAACCAATACAAGCACGATATATTCATTCATCTCGAGGAATGTCTGTCGTTCGCGCTTAAGGTTCGGCAAGAAACTGAAACATGAAGGTGTTGCTCAAATATTTCAAAGCCTCTCCACTTAAATTGTTTTTGTTTATTTTAATATTTTATTTTAATAAATATGCGGTTTGGACTTTTCCAGAAATAAGGGCTCTTTATAGTTGTGTTATGCACATTAATATAAAAATAAATGACGAAGTCTTGCAAAGAAATTATTTTCTTCATATTTATTAATTATTCATATTGGTTTTTATGGAATGCCTAGCTTTGCTCTTGAAATCAATTCAAATTAATACTTTACATAACTTGCTTTATGCGAGGCCTATAACATCGTAATATAACACGTGTCTGCCTTATAAATTAATGAGTTGTTCGTTCTAAATATATGATTAATTGAAAAGAAGATATTATCAAGCATTTAAATTGAATTATTGATCAAATTATTGACTTCTAAGTATATGCATTGATTATATTGTATTGTTGAGCAAATTGGAACTTAAGAGAATCACCGAGGCTCACTGAACAAGGACTCTCAAGTTCCAAGATCTATTGCGTAAACAATAAAGAAAGTATTTGTATTGTTGAGCAAATTGGAACTTAAGAGAATCACCGAGACTCACCGAACAAGGACTCTCAAGTTCCAAGATCTATTGCGTAAACAATAAAGAAAGTCTAGTAGTCCATTTATATCTTACATACCAATATTCCAGGCCCAAACATCCTTCCCATTTGAACACTGAGAGAAAGTCATTTTCGCAATGAAAATGGGTTGGAAGCCACTGCAGACCCACATTAAGCCTTAAGCATTATCTTAATGACATTTCTAATTATATGATTTGGTTTCTAAGAAGGTATTAGAAATAATTTTAATTTGATATTTGAGAAAATTTTTCACGGCTGTGTATTTGTTACAATCTTTCGAACTTGGCAGAATCTCCCCACCAAACAAGGACTCTCAAGTTCCTAGAACTTTGATTATAATAGATCATACCTTCCCCAAAAAGTCTAGTATGCCTGTTTAGCATTTAGATACAGGGTATAGCAGTCTACATGAGTCTGTAAGCTGAGACAAAAATATTTACACACCAAGCAAATAGACATTTGAGCAAAAGCTCGGAGATAATACATTGCTTGGAATGAATGTAAGATTCTCTAGACTCGAGCAGCCTCTTAAAGGCCCCTTGCAATGGGCCCGGGGCATTTCGTTTGTGGTGGCTGGTGCGAGCAGTAGTCGCGTTCCATTTGCAGAAAGGTCGGTAAATATTGGTTTTCACCTGCGCTGTCGTTGCACGGATTACTTTATCTTGACACCTTGCCAGTCGGCAGACGAGTAAGCAGCTGCATTAAGATAAGCCATCGACTTACATGCTCAAGGCCAAATGAATTTGAGAATGTTGGCTCCATTATTGTGGCTATTTATGCTCCACTGTGTGGCTCTCACGGCCCGGCCACTTAGCTTGAGCAACTGCAGCAAGACGGATCTCACTGATCTGAACGAAACCATTAGCGCCTTGAGCTTGCGCAACTGCAGCATAGAGCGGCTGGATAATGCCTTCTTTTTGCGCTACACTCAACTGCTGAGCTTGGAGCTAAACGATTGCGGTCTCATCGAACTGGACGATTTCGCGCTGCATGGCCTGCCGCTGCTTCAGACCCTCTCGCTGGCCTACAACAACCTAACTGTGGTCAAGTCCTGGTCTAACGAGCCGCTGGCCGCTCTGGGCACACTTGACTTGCGTCACAATGCGATAGGGGCACTAAATGAGAAAAGTTTCGACCGCTATCCCCAGCTACAGCATTTGAATCTGGCCGCCAATCTCATTGAGCAGATCGAAGCGGGCATATTCCACGGTCTAACACATCTGAGGCACTTGAATCTGGGCCGCAATCGACTGCAGGTAATCGATGGAAGCATGTTCGATGGCCTGCACCGCTTATCGACGCTATCACTGCACTATAATGCCATCGGGCTGGTGGAACCAGATGCCTTTCAGAGCAACACCCACTTGCGAACGCTTCGCCTGGAGGGTAATCGTCTGGAGAGCGTCCAGTTTCTCAGAGAACGTGGTCTCTCGCGTCTGGTCAGCCTTAATCTGTCGCACAATTTGTTGAAGCAACTTCCACACTTTTCCTTCTCCAAAAACTATGAGTTGCAGCACCTCGACATAAGCCGCAATTCATTGTGCGAGCTGACAAACGACAGCTTGGCTGGGTTGGAATCGTTGGAGGTAAGTGACGAACCAGCTGTCAATAATTATACTCTGTACCCGTAAAATATGAAGGATATACCCTTCAGGTTTGTGTGAAAAGTATGTAGCAAGCATCTCCAATCCCATACTGTATGTATATTCCTAATCAGCTTGACGAGAGAAATCGATCTAGTCATGCCCGTCCGTTTGTTCATTCTGTCCGTCTGTATGAACGCCTCGATTTCGGAAACGGCTGAGCGCACATTATCCAAACTTGGCAGGTGAACGCTCCTAGTCCTTAGCCAACACGAGTTTGTTTTACATACAATTTTCTACTCTTTTCTCAAATTTCATCCAAGTCGGTTAATTCTAAGAAAAGTTATTAGCGAAACAATTTCACTCCAGTATTACTCCCAGAAACTGCTGCATCAAGTACGCTCTTCTTCTTCTTCTTCTTCTTTTTGCTTCTGCATATTACTCTGTTCTGGAAGTTTTACTGGGAGCAGGGTATTTAACTGTCAGGCTTGCTCGACTTCAGCCTTCTCTCTTCTTTATAAATACTTTTCAACCCGATTTAGATTTATTTTTTTAGCAAATAATAGCTTATTTGCTGATTTGCTATATAGTCTTTTATATAGTCCAGAAATTGTCCAGTCAAATCATTCTCCAGAGAGGCAGTCAAATGATCAGAAAACAACTTTCTAACAAAATTTTTATTAGTCTTTTCAAAGTCTTATCGAACTTTATGGCAATAAATGAACACAAACAAATATACACTCTTTAATGTATAAATCATATTGACCTGTATTTCAATTTAAATTTCTTTTAACTTTCCTTACTTATTCTATTTCTATTTTAATTTTATTTCAATAAAATATTTGTTCTTTACAGCGTTTAAATCTCAGCCATAATACACTGTCTCATATGGAAGAGCATAGTCTGGCGCCGCTTACTAGTCTACTCCAACTGGATATTAGTGCGAATTTGTTGACCAACTTGTCCTCGGCCTTATTCCACTCAAATCGGCTGCTCCAATACCTTAATTTATCGCACAACAAGCTAAAGGTAATGGAGTCCCAGCTACTGGAGCATTTGGCCCAATTGACAAACCTACAATTGGCCCACAACAAGCTGGATAGTGTCGATTGGTTACAGCATTTACCATCAGCTCTCAATCGCCAGGCGCTGAGCGTGGATCTCTCCTCAAATCGTCTGCACTCGGTCGATCAGAGCATCCTGAATGGCTTCAAGCTCATCAACCTGGCCGATAACCCCTGGGACTGCAATTGGCTGATCAAAAATATGTTACGTACATCTCCCGCATCCATAAATTTTGCACGCTCTTGGCCAACGATCAGTGCCGAGACTGAAAGTGTATTGAACATTGAGGGCTTCGATTGTTTCGATGGCCAGAAAAATCTCTCGATTGTCTTGCTGGATGTGTCCATTGTGCGGAAACAGTCCGATGTGGCATCCAGCTGTGAGGTGAGCACAAATCGAAATACAGAGGCTTAGCCGGATTTCATGTTAGATCTAATTGGTTACAGCACGCTACTGACGAAGGAAATCTCACACCACCGCCACTCACTTGGCCCAAAATACGCACGGATCGCTTTGATTCGCGTTCGGTTATAATTTGGATGCTGGTGGCCATTGCTCTGGTATTTGCGGCCCTACGTTGGGCGCGTCGTCATGTGGATCGCAAGGATAAGCAGAAGAATTATCGCCAGGCAACAAATCATTGCAACAATGCCAAATAACTAAGCTAATTAATTGTTTTACTGCTTTCTGCAACCAGGATTTTTAATACTTAATCAATTTATAACAAGAGAGAACGCTACAGTCGAGCAAGCCCGACAGTGTAATACCCTGTACCCAGGTAAACTTCCGTCACTGAGTTATATGCGCCCATAGCAGCAGCAAAAAGAGGAAGAAGAAGAGCGAACTTGTTGCTGCAGTTTGAGGGGGTTGTACTGTAGAGAATTTGTTTCGCTAATAACTTTTCTTAGAATTGACCGAATTTGATAAAATTTTAAACAACAGTAGATAATTGTATAGAAATTATGTGTGCAAAGTTTGGTTTAGGTAGCTTTTGAAATGTGGACGCTATTGACGAAATTCTGTAGCGGGGGAAGGGGGGGAAAATTAAAAAAAAAAAAATAAACTCGTCCTTACTCGGACCTAGGAGAATCTGGATGCCAACTTTGGTTATTCTAGCTTTTATAGTTTCCGAGATCCTTGCGTTCATCCAGACGGACGGACAGACGGACAGACGGACAGACGGACAGACGGACGGACATGTCTAGATCGATTTCTCTCGTCATGCTGATCAAGAATATATATACTTTATGGGGTCGGAGATGCTTCCTTCTGTATGTTACATACTTTGCACAAACCTAATATACCCTTTTTACCCTACGGGTACAGGGTATAAAAAGTCAACCAGATAATTGATGTTCAATTAATAAAATTATTATTAGATACTTGTAATTGGAGGTAAGTGGCACATTGTTGATCTTTGTCTGTACTACCTTTTTATATTATTTGACAATTAATGGATTATGCGATTTTTGAATTATTCCAAAGAACAAATCACTTATTTGATTAAACCGGAGCTGAAAGCCAAAACAGAAAGTCAAGTCAAAACATTCCAGCTAGTATCGTAATCCATTGAAATCTTTAGTCTAATGCTTCGAAAGAAAAGTGTTTGGGACTTCTAGTTGATTTGTGAACTCCCATCGTAATTCCAATTTCTTTCAGTCTTAAAAAGCGTGCAGATTACAGAGTAGCAAATGGCTCTTTGTGTGAATAATAAAATACATTGCTTCGATTGCTGATAAGCACAATACTAAGCCACGGTTCTTGATTTACGTCATCAAATTGGTTTGAACGGAGCAACGACCCGCAGAGCGGCACTAAAATCTGATTCATCTTTTAAATAACAAGGCAGTCCATCTATATAGTATTTCTGAAATTAAATTTATTAACTGAATGACTAACATATTGAAACTTAATCATAAGCACCAGTCCAAGCAAGTTGTAGTCCTCATTTGTACAGTCGTTCGATAACCTCAGCGTATTTCGCCAGCACAATATTACGTCGCACCTTCAGAGTGGGTCCCAGCTCGCCCGTGGGTATAGAGAAGTCGTGCGGCAGCAGAGCAAACTTTTGCACCTTCTGCGCATTTGAAATGGCGTGTCTATTCGCACTCTTGATGCCCTCCTCAATGGCTTGCATTAGCTTCGGATTGGGATTTATTTGCAAGCTGGTTGCCTTTATGTCGTCATCACTGCTAGGCAGCTTCAGCGGAGCAGCCAATCCCAACAATTCCGAGAGCCGAGTGTAGTGCAAGTTGAGGGACTGCAGCCACTCAACGGCATCCGGACGTAGGTCGTCCAGTGGGAGGCCAGTGTGCGCATCTGTGTCCGTCTTCAGGGTTAGGAGGACTGTCAAATATTTGCGATGATCGCCCACAAGCAGGGCATTGCTGACACATGGCAGTTCCCGTTTGATTAGCTCCTCAATGTGCACAGGTGGTATGTTCTCTCCACCGGCCGTTATTATCAGCTCCTTTAGACGCCCGGAGATTATAACATTACCCAAGGGATCCAAGTAGCCCAAGTCGCCGCTATGTAGCCAGCCATCCTCCTTGATGGTCTCACTCGTCTTCAAGGGCTCATTCAAATAGCCCATGAAATTGCTGCGACCACGCACGCAAAGCTCTCCCTGACCATTCGAATCGGGCGCGTTGATCTTGACCTCGAAACCCTCGACGGGTCGACCCGAGCTGGACAGGTTTTTGATTTGTGTGTGCAGCGTGATGCCGCCACCTGTCTCCGACATGCCATAAACATCGCAGAGCGGAATGTCCAGACTTAAAAAGTAGTGCTTCAGCTCATCGGTAACTGGAGCGCCACCTATGATAAATGTCTTGCAATAAGCCAGGCCCAGCGCCTGCTTTATAGAGCGTGTGATTCTGGAAGCCAGCCAATACTTCAGTTCGCCATAGAGAGAGATTTGATTACTGATCAGGCAATAGATAAACAAAAAGAGAGAAAAAAGAGAAAAAGCGTTATACGAAAGTTCAAATGGAAGATGCAAATCAAATCATAGTGATGTCTTAGCAATAGGTAGAGAAAGAGAGAAAGAGAGAGGGAGAAAGCGTTATACAAAAATGCAAATACTCGAATCAAATCATAGTGATGTCTTAGCAATAGGTAGAGAAAAAGAGCAAAAGCGTTATACAAAAATTCAAATACTCTACTCAAATCAAATCATAGTGATGTCTTAGCAAAAAATAGATATAATGAGAGAGAAGGGGGGAGAAAGCGTTATACGAAAATTCAAATACTCGAATCAAATCAAATAATAGTGATGTCTTAGCAATAGGTAGATAAAGAGAGAAAAAGAGAAAAAGCCCTTTACAAAAATTCAAATACTCTACTGAAATCAAATCATATTGATGTCTTAACAATAGATATATAAAATGAGAGAGAAGGAGAGGGGAAAAAGCGTCATACAAAAATTCAAACACTCGAATCAAATCAAATCATTTTGATGTTTTGGCAATAGGTAAATAAAGAGAGAGCGAGAGAGAGAGAGAGAGAAAGCGTTATAAAAAAATGGAAATACTCGTCGATTTGTCAAATCAAATCTTAGTAATGTCTTAGCATCCGCCCGATTTCACGATTGTGTCGAGTCTAAAGTCTAGTGATTATGGACTTGGACTTACCCAGCAATGCGTGACAGATGATATTGCCGTACAGTGGCTCGCGCCTTTCCCAGCAACAGTCGGGCATATGGCTTGCTGTTGGCTTCGGCGGCCAACAGTTGCTCCTGAAATTTCTCAAAAATGCGCGGCACTCCAAACATGCGTGTGGGTCGCGCCTTCGCAAAGGTACGTGTCAAGGTGCCTTTGAGCGCGTTGCGATCCGCAAAGTAAACGCAGCCGCCGTACGCCATGGCCAGGAAAATGTCGAAAACTTGTGCTGCTATGTGATTCAGCGGCAAGTAGGTGACCAGAGATTCATGACCCTCCTCCACATTCTCGAAGCTTTGGGCAATGGTCTTGGCATCGAAGATGACGGCGTCATGCGAAAGCATTACAGCTTTGGGCATTCCTACAGTGCCGGAGGTGAAGATCAACATGGCGCATTCGTTCGCATGCACGGAACGCACTCGAGCATCCAACTCGGAGCCGTAGCTCGCCTCCAACTGCAACTGTTCCAAGTCGCTCCAGCGATAGTAGCCGGGCTCGTTGCCCACAAATGAGTCGTAGGGTCCGTGCAATTGAATGACGGACTTGAGGCGCGGCAGACGTTCCTTGATTGCTCGCAACTTTGCCATTTGCTTGTCGTCATCCACGACGCAAACAGTGGCCTCACTTGTCTCTAACACATGATGCACTGCCTCTGCCGAATTGGACGGATAGATGCCAGCTAAAATGCCGCCGGCATGTATAGCCCCCAGCTCAGCATAGAACCACTCCGGACAATTGAAGGCCAAGATGCCGATGCTGGTGCGCGGCTCCAGACCCACATGCAGCAGCATCAGTGCCGACTGTCGCACCTTGCGCTCGTACTCCTCATAGCTCAGCGTTGTCCAGCCATCCGGCGTTTCGAAAACCAAGGCCGGCGATTTGGCATATTTGCTGCAGACGGCGCCAAAGAATTCCGGGAGCGTTTGAGGGGCTATTGCTGCGATGCCTTCATCTCCAATGCGTAGCTTTACAGCATCGTGCAGTGAGTTGCTCGTGTAGCTGGTTGCTGGCTTCAAATTTCCAGGCCTCACTTGATTTAGGTCCACCTCGTTCATGCTGATACTTGAGAATATATTCGAGTCTATAACGGCCGCCCCTATTTATGTCCATGCCGCCGTTGCTTTCTGGCAACTGATAGTGACGTTATCGATGCTGCTTCTGACGCTCTTGTCTGCCAGTGCGATAAATAGGTTACTGGCCCAGCCACACAATCTTTAAGGCTTAAGATTCATACACGAATGCCACTGACTGGACAGCAACCTAGGCTACGGATTGAGGCCTTATCTGACCGCTGTCTAAATTCATGACTGAACGCTACTCATTATAATGTACTATAAGATGCTGCGATTGCCTGACCTTTGAGTGCCTTATCTCCACATGCGTAGACGGTCGTCCTAGATTATGCGACCCGGACTGTAAAGTGCCTAAAACTATTGAAGATTATACTTAAACCTCAATTTGATAAAGAGGTATAGAACCGAGACACCATGCATCCCAAGACTACAAGTATCTGTAAATTAAGATATGCATATCTAAACTGATAAGAGTGCCATAATGCAGTGCTAAAGTACCGTTTTAGTCATAGTACATATTATTAGGAGTAGTCGGCTCGACAAAAAAAAGGACGATTTGTTTAAGTCGGTTTGAAACCAATAATATTAAAAGGCTTTATTTCTAATGCCTCCTTCTATACGATCGCTAATACTTAGTTTGTAGTATTTGTGGACGTATTATGAATATAATTGCATAGTCTATGTAGGGCATATAATACCTGCAACTTTTGAGAAATCCAACATTCTGAAGACTGGAGCTAAGGGCCAGCTACAAACATTTGTTTTCAACAGGCGGCTAATGAAAAGTGGGTGAGATGAGGGCCAAGCACACACACCCACCTATATATACAAATATTTGACCACCAAATGCGTCAGTTTGTTTATTATAGACGAGTCCATGCAGTCAGAGAAAAGTTCCAAATGCTCGCTCTTTTTCCCCAAAAGATGTTTCAGCTTTATTCGCAATTCCTCTCCTCCTTTTTATAAAATCAAATTCTGAAAAAAGGGTGCAGTCAAGGGAGCCAGAAATTTAATTACAGAAATAAATGTTATATAGTGGATATTAAAGTATTACATAATATATATTACAGTATTTACAAAATATTATGGAAAATCGTGCAAAACGTATACCATAATCACAACTTTTACCAAAAAGGTGAATGCGTAGGAAACAGAAACTTTAGACCTCGCCTGTAAAGTAACGCCCGCAAAAAGCCTTAATGTTGGATATCGATAAGTGTACATATAAATGTACTTAATTGGACAACAAATACATTAATTTAAGTATAATAATTATACATTACCATATTTCATTAATTTATAAATCATTGTTCTATTTATTTGTTTAATTAAGTAATTTTCACGTTTATATTTTTGAAAATGTTGAACAATATTTTTGAGCGGATTATACTTAATTATTGGGTGAAAAGCGATATGATAAACAATCTTATTGAAACATTTTCCCGGATGTTCCGCTTTTTGTGACAGCACACTCGACGAGTACACCGAAAAAAATTACATGAAACTCAAGCATTAGATGATTTGCCATTAATTTTGTAGCCCGTTGTTAATATCAATATAAGAAGAAGTTAGAAGGTTAGCACTAATTCTGTACAGTTATATTATTAATCATTAATAAACTTCTTAATCACAGTGGGGCAGCGCACTACAACGAAACAATCAAATTTGTTTAATATGTCATAGTGAAGAGTATATAATTGTCGGCTTTATACCTGCCCATTTTGTATTAAAAGGCATAAAACCATAAAAGAAGTTTTAGTGAAATGTATTAGTAAATGCTTACACTACCTAGAACTATTAAGACCGTCTTAAAAAAGCCTTTATATATACACTCTCCCAATTTCAAATCGACAATACCATTTTTTCTCTGTGTACGTAACTGTTAAATGAATTCGTTGGCCGGTCGGCCGTTCGGCCAGTCAGGCAGCGGTTTAACTCTCTACTCATATTACACGCATGTTGTGGTCGGTCGCTGGGGGCCCCCAAAACATGTTGTACGCACACAGTACTAAGTACACACACATACACACCTACATATGTGTATATGGTACGTGCACACTCACACACACACACATACTTAACATCGGAATAGAAGATGAAAAACTTTCACACAGTCCATGGGGCTTGTTGTTCGTTTTATTCACCCACTGAGCTTTGCTGTGCGCCTGTTCGACGAACAGTCATTTTTTGTACAAATTTATAATTTATTGTTTAATTTATTTTATTGCAAATTGCGGCACACTTCCATCCGCACACACACACACACACAGATACAGATACAGAGGCGACTTTGTTGACAGGCATGATTTGCATTTATGTGGCTTTAAATGGCGATATGGAGAGAGCGATACAAAAAGTTTATTGTTATTAACTTAATTGTTCATACTTGTGTGGCTTATCTTTTTGTTATGACGGCGCGCACAAACAGCAACAACATTATTATAAAATTATTTACCAATGAACAGCAGCGCATGAATGCGAAACAAGTGTAGAAAAATTGTTTCTCTTCGCTCTTGTAGCTGACACTACAACAAATAGTTGCAATATTTATTCCTCTTTTTTTTGTTTGCCGAGTAAATTGTAATACCGCTGTATAAAGAAAATAACATATGTACCTATGTATGCATGCATGTATGTACATAACTACCTATCTATGTATTCATGTGTGTGTGGGCATGTGGATATGCTCGTTCGCTACAAGTATGTAAGGGCAGCATGTAATGGGAAAGAAATGAACAGACCAATGACAATAGCAACAACAACAACAACAACAACACGGCACCCAAAACCGATAAAAAGATGTACATATGTATAAATATACATTTGTATATAAATACATACATATGTTTATGTACAAAAAAAAGCTTATCTTTAATGTGCACTGTGCCGCACAACAACAACAGAAACAACAAATGAGAAATCACAGGCAACAAATGTATTAGGCTGGTGCTTAAAAGTGCTATACATAAGTCAGACATAAAATAGGAATATTATAGGAACTATTATAAATATTATAGGAAAAATGAAAAAAGGGATTCCACTTTTTCCTAAATGAAAATTATAAATAAAGTTTCTTACATTGTTTAACATAATAATAATACTTTGCCCAATTTTAAATTGTGATGTTATCTTTACTATTTAATTTAATATGAACTCAAAAGGTCTGCAAAACCGAACATGAATATATTTTTAAAAACCAGCTAAGAAGGCGAAACCAATATTTATTCAAATATTTGATAATGATTTTATTCTCATACCCTGTACCCGAGTGGTGATAAGGTTATATTACATAGCTGCCATAGTACCGATCGGCTGTCGTTTTTTGTTTATTGAGATGCTCCTAACAAATTTCGTAAAATTAATATTCGAAGGAATAGAAATATCGGTGCAAAAATCAATCTTAGTACCTAAAGATATCTTAATCAAAGTGTTTGCTGTTTTCTCATTCATCTCCTCTTCCTTAGGATGGTGTTCGGATAACCGGTATTCAAAAGTCGGACTGCCACAACTTTTATGTAGACTATAGTACATATGCAAAGGCAGATATTATTTAGAAGAACCAGTCTAAAAACCCCGCATAAGTGTTCCAACAGTTCGATTTGTATTCTAAACGTTCAAAAAACTCATCTAAATGCTACTAATGCTCTCAGACAGAGTACATATGTATGTCCATATGTAAACACTGACATTTTAACAACCATACGCAGACAAAATAAATAATGGGTGGGTGTAGAGTATACATAATTTGCTCTTGACCAATAATATGCTCCAATTTGTGTTACATACTAGAGTAATCAAATAATATCCGTATCCGTAACTGCAGCGCGAAAGAAAATAAACCAACAAATATGTATGCATACATACACACATATGGGCATACATACAAATGTACATATGTGTGCTGTCGACTATAGCTATAGCTGTACATATTTACACGCATGACATGCACATGTGCATGTCGGTGACTTTTGTAGATTTGTTTGTGTACATATAGATATAGCGAAATAACCCGGCGCGCAGCATTGATTAGCAAGGCCAACAGCTGAAAAAGTTCAGGCGAACAAGTGAGGCAGAGGCGGTCTCATACAGACAACCAGCCAGCCAGCAAGCCAGCCAAACGGGCAGCAACAACCCAGCACCAACAAAAAGTACACACAACAATAAAGAAATACAAACACACAAAACGGTATACATATGTTTGTATGTACATACATATGTATGTATGCATGCACATACAAACACTCGCGCGCACACACCAAACTACTAAAAGAGGCGGGCACCGACACCGACACCCGAGACAGCAAGACAGATAAACAACATTTATATTCATGTACCAACAACATCAAGAAGTGTGGCACATACTTGTACACACTCGCACACAAACGCAGGCGGCACACATGCGCATAAAAAACGCAAATCAAATGAATATATGTACACATTGACAAACGTGCATACATACTTACTTACAAACATACATATGTGTATGTGTACATATGTTTGTATAGTCAAGCATACGTGCAATTGGCCCCCACCCCTCCCTCACACAAAATGTTGGCAACTCATTCAAACTAAATTCTACACGCTCAGCTCTTTAAAGCATAGCATATCAACGACGTTGACGCTGATGCTTACATATGTACATACATACATATGTATGTATGTACGTTGTCGTTAGCAGCGGCAGCAAAAACAACGATAACATGTCCGTCAGTCTTGCATACAAACATATGTTAAGCGGTGGCAAAATAAGTGGTTGGTGCTCTCTCGCTCCCTCGTTCCATCTTTTCCTCACTCGCCAACCACATAAATAGCAATTACAATAACAACCGGTATTTAAAACTGTTTTAATCCCTCATCATTAGCACACAGGCGTACAAACATGTTGTACACACAGAAACAAACGCACATGCATCCATAAGACGACACACCACACGAAGCTTCTGCTGATGACACACACATATGCACATGCAAGCTAGCTCGTCAATATAAACTTGCTTGTCATGTCGCCTTGGCAGGTGGGTGCGAGCGCCAAAGAGTGGGTTGGAGCGAGCAAGCGAGAGAGCGCTTTCGAACGCATGACGCATTCACCTGCCGCTGTCTAGACAAGAACAATACGAAAAACTCATGCATAGAATATGGCAAAACGAGAAAAGGTATAGCAGTAAAGGCTACTTCGCTTTTACTCTCACCGCGCAGTTAAATTCATAAATGCATGTAAGCTCAGGCATGTCTCTCCTACTCTCGCTGTCATTTAATATTTGGCTCTCTTGCCTCGCATTGTTTGTAAAGCTCGAAAATTAATTGCACATCGAAACACAAAAGTGCTTATATACAAAATGTATGGCGACCCAACAGAGTGACGTCATCCGAAGAGAAAATGGTTCCAATAAGCATTTAGCAGAATGTTGTGAATCGTTCATGAGCTGTTGTTGTTGTTGGTGCTGTGAAATTCAAATGTGAGCAAATGAATGAACCATTTGATTATAATTATCAGCATTATTATGCATAAGCGCATGCATTCATTAATTGATTAAATTTATATATTGTTTTTAATAATGTTATTTGTAATGGAAAGGAAAATTCCGTTGGCAAGGCCTGTAATACTGGGCACTGTTTACAACAGTGCTTATGATAAATATGCACACAGCTTTGTTTGATATCAGCTTTATCAATATATATTTTTTCGTATTTTTACAACTAAATACTACGTTTTTTCAGTTTCCTAGAAGTTGTTTTAAAATCCCAAATACAATTTTTGATAAATTTTTAAAGAAGCCGAATTAATTCGAAAAGGATTCAAATTTAGAGGAATTTAACATAAACGCATATATGTATGTACATATACACATAAAGAAATGCGTTCAGAATTTTAAATAATTATTTGTTAACATTTTATGAACATAGTACTGAATCCACCGATTTAAATGAATAATGATACTCTATTATGTGTATATTTATTTCGAGAGCAAGGTTTGGTTTATGTAATAATAATAATAAAAAGTATTTTAGGACTAAATATAGTTAAATATAAAATGAAGCACATGCTGTTTAGACGCAAACAATTTTTTATACCGTTGCGAAATTACAGTGTTTATTTGTGAAGAGCATTATTCAAAAGAAATTTGCTCACGTGATGAATGAACAGAGCTCTGTACAATAACATTCTCGCAGACAACATGGAGTAGCATCCAGTAACATACATATGTATGTGCATACGTATTTATATAGATACAAACATACATACATATGTAAGTATGCTTACAGATTTGTCTTACTTATGCATGTATGTACATATTTAAATTTTTTCAGATCTGCTTTGGACTGTAGCCGTATCCAGTCGCCGGTTGTCGGCGGCCGGTCGTGGAGTGTTATTATTGTTGTTGTTGTTACTGCCTATTACATTTCATTTTCATTCAGTTCTGGTTTTGGCGCTTTGCTGGGTCTTTCAGTCGGCCTGTATACTCGTATTTTTTTTGCCAGCGCCGTTTGTTGCTTGTGCAAGTTTGTGGGGCTCATTACAAGCACACAAAAGTACATACATATGTCTGTATGTATGTGGAACTGCGAGCTTGCGCTGCGTACATATAATTTGAGAATATGTAGGCATGTACATATGTGTGTATGTAGATATGTTGTATGTGATAGCGTTGTCGTCGTCGTCGTCGTCGTCGCTGTTGTTACCGTTTTGGCTTTATGAGGGTATAATATATACGAACATACATATGTATATGCATTTATATGTATGCATATATAAGCTACTTCTGCTACACACACTGCCTACTATAAACATGTGTACATACATATGCATGTACACACACTCGACGCTTGTCGGTCGCTCGTTTCATTCGCATTGGCATTGCTTTGGTTTTGCTTTGGCTTTGGCTTTGTCCGCAGAGGCTTGCTAATCATTTCTGTACGCCTGCTTGCCCCTCATGTTTATTTGTATATATCGAGCAACACAAACGCACAAAATCATATGCATACATACTCAGCAACAAAAGCACTAACATGCTTATGCATACATACTTATAACAAGTTGCGCACTTATTATCTAGTTGTTGTTGTTATTGTTTGCCTTTGCGTTTGTTTGGGTTTTTGTTGGTGGTGTGGTGGTCGTCGGTCTGTTGGTCTGTTCGTCGTCAGTGAGTGGAAAAAATTGGCGAAATTTCGCCTCTCTCTTTCTTATTGCTATTGTTGTTCTTGTTACTGTACGTGAGCGATAAAGTAATGAATTAATTTACATACATGCGAGTATGTACATACATACATATGTATATTGTTTGTTTATATTAACATAATAAAATGTTTTTATTAACAGTGTGGCGAAAACACTTTCTGGACAGAATTTTGCGCATATGTTAATTATATGCTCACAGAATGTTAAGCTATTTAAAAGCCTCATTGGAAATATCCCTTATAGCCTTATACCTATGCATATTTGGCATTTTAAAAGAAGAAGAATATTGTCAACTAACTTGGAAGGGAGGATTGCATTTCCTTTTTTAGGAATATGTTAATTAGAAAGAGATAGTAGGAACACTCCAGTGCTCGCTAGCTAACTAGGGACCTATAGCTAAGTAATGAGCGATAGTAGAGTGGTGACCGATAGCTTAGTATTGGCTGAGATTAATCCCCGACTACACAGGATCTGCAGGATCTTTCCCAGCTACATAAAACGATCTAAAAAGTTAAATCTATGCTCAACATGACTTTGAAAGCTGAATTCAAATATTGAATGTATGTTTTAATGGCGAACTGTTAACGGCCAAGTCGGTAGGGGCCATGGGTCCTCTATAACTTTTACTACACATGATACTTGAATCTTGGAAAATTATTTTTAGCTCTATATTCAATCAAGCAATGGCTTATATACTCAGAGTATTCAAAAGCTACCAGATAGATAGAAATTAGAAAGTTATCGTAAATTAAGAAACATCTTTTAACAAAAATGAATAACAATAATTGATTATGTTTCGTATTAAAAAGGCTTATAAAGGCTTCTTCAAGCAAAAATGCTATACGAAGAGGCATTTCTCGGATAAAACCTTCTTCTAAGCAAAAATGCTATACGAAGACGAATTTCTCGGCTAAAATTCTTTGAATTCTTTTTATAATGCTGTCCAACTGAATAGAAACAGAAGCAAGCCATAGAAACTGGAAGATAAAGAGTAGTTTGTAAATATAAACATATTAACAAACAACTATAGTTTCTTAATTTATAATATTTTATTGCAATTCTAAAACATTGAGAGTGTTTTGCATGATTCCTATATTATGAAATCTGGGTTATCTCCTTTATTTGGAATATAAACTTAGTACATATGTATGTGTATGAATTACCTCTCGACGGGTGGGAAGTGTCGTCGAGAAGCGAAGAAAATACCTGAGCCTATAAAAACCAATGTTATGAACATGGCTAATAAAACGCCTCTCGCATAGTCTTCCCATTGAACAGGTGTGTCTTTCTTTAGACTACGCGTTTTGGGAGATAAATCTGGAGATGGCGCCAGTACACTACAGGAAAATCGAGTGTATCTGGGACTCTTACTTTTTCCGTGGCAAATCAAATTCCAGGACAGTTGGTTGCACTCGCATAACTTTGTATTCAAACAAGCTGGGTCCTTGCTCTTCTTAAGTCCTTTATCACACGCATCTACACAGCGGGCGGTATTATTGGATACGCTTTGCAGCTTAGAATGGGTAGTGTTCTCTGTTTTTGGCTCGCCTTCCCTTTCTGGCTCTAGTTTCTGCAAGCAGAGGCATCTAGTTATACAGTTCCAGGGGGGTATCAAGACATTTTTGTCCGGATGACAAGTCTGGATGATGACATCCTTCCTTTTGATTTTCTTGGTCTCAAACTTTGGAAGGAATCCCTCCCAGCAGGTGCAGTTATCCGGCGCTACGCAGTCGCCACCATTGCAGTGATGGCAAATGGGTATGCAGTGGTATTTGTTTACTCTTTTGTAGCCCTTGTGGCAGGTGCATGTTTCAGGAGCGGAGCAACGTGCATTGATACAAGTGGTGCCACAAATGGGCTCACAACTGAGACCACCGGAGGCCTGCTCGGTTAGGTTGTAGCCCGCTTTGCACTCACACCTATTGGGCTCGACACAATTGGCATTCCTTTCGCACTTCTCATCGCACTTAGCCACACACTGACTACTTCCCGGGGTTTCGTAGTGGTAGCCGAACAGACAACCGCACTTCCCAGGCGCTCGGCAATACCCATGGGGTCCACAGTCGGAGCTGCACATCGGACCACATGTGCCATTCTCATGGGCAGTGTATCCAGCATTGCAAACACATGTATTCGGCCTGCCACAATGACTGAATTCTGGACACGCTTGCACGCAGACTGGCTCGCAATCCGCGCTATTCTCTGCGGATGATCGCACATAGCCCTCATCGCATAGGCACCGCTCAGGCTCTACACAATGCGTGTTCCTTCCACAACTCTGGCAACTTGCTGCACACACCACGGAATCGATTCGCACGCCAATATACTCGTATCCACTGTTACATTCGCAGCGATCGGGAGCAGCGCAATAGGAGTTCGCCGGACAGTTGTCGCACTGTGGCTGGCAATTGTCTATAGATCCCATGTAACCTTCACAGCATATATCTCTAAAGCCCCACTGAAGCACTGTCTGATGACATTCAAGACATTTAAGCTATGCATGCAATGCAATGGACCTCACTTTTCTTCTCACCTTGTTCTGCCAATCGCCCTCCAACCGCCACTCCGTCACCAAACGACCATCTTTATTCACCATATGAGGCACATTTTCCGTCACATAAACCAATTTGATTTGCGGCTGCAAAACCTTTACTTGGCACACATTCTGCCCAGCAGCATAGAACTCGACTGCGACCGCAAGGCAAACAAATATTTTGAATACTCGTAGTACTCGTACTGGGATCATTGCAATTTATGTCATGAGTAGCAGCAGTACTGTAATGATTCGAAAATGTTCAACAATTTGCTGCCGTTTTTGGAAAACGTTTGCCATTTGAATGCGAATAAACAAAATTTACATAAAATTCTAGGTTTTATAAAGCATACTACTTGCTAGAATTCCCTAAGAGCGAGGATAAATGTGATCTCTGGACTGTTGGAGATTGCAGGAGCATCTATAATGCTTTAATATTCATTTCATTGGAAAAAGGAATGGTGCAGCACCTTCAAGTTGCCTTCAATTGTTATTGAAAGCTTTGTCGATGGCTCCCTCCTTGAATATATGTTTTCATTCCATTTTACATAAAATTTTGGGTTCTATTAATCATGCGACTTGCTAGAATTCCTTAAGAGCCTTTTTAGATGATAAATGTGATATTCTAGACTGCTGGAGACTACAGGAGCATCTAAATTACTTCAATAATAATAACTCCATTGACTAAATGAATGGTCCATTATCTTCAATTGTTTTTGAAAGCTTTGTCGATGGCTCCCCTTTTTCATTCCATTCTGACATTTCCACTTCCAAGTTTTACATAAAATTCTAGGTTCCATAAACAAGAATTGTATGAATTCTCTAAGAGCATTTCAGATGATGCGATGATCTCTAGAGAGAGAGCATCTACTCGTATTAATCTTAAATATTCATTTCATTGAGCAACTGAATGTTGCCTTCAATCGCTTTTGAAAGCTTTGACGATGGCTCCCCTTTGATTATATGTTTCCACTGCATTCTGGCACTTCCCCTTGCAAATTTGACATAAAATTCTAGGCTCTATATCAAGAATTGTAAGAATTCAAAGAGCGTTTCAGATGATCTCTAGAGAGGGAGTGCATCTACTCTTATAATGCTTTTATATTCATTCCATTGACAAACTGAATGGCCCAGCACCTTCAACTTGCCTTCAATCGCTTTTGAAAGCTTTGTCGATGGCTCCCCCTTTTTTATTTTATTATTTATTTCCACTCCATTCTGAAATGTCCATAAGAGTGTTGGTGGCGCGATAAGCTGCGCTGCAAAACAATGAGGAGCTGCCGTTAGTCACTTATCAAGCAAGCGACCCCGAGCCGAGCACAAAAAGCGAGCAGCACGATGCCCAGTAATGGCTTTCTCTTTCTTAATCAGCAACTGCAGCAGCAACAACAGCAGCGGCAACAACAGCAGCGGCATCAACAGTTAGTGCTGCACTTTGCTCGAGGCGGAGCCGACGATCGCCTTTAAGAAGCGAGGAGAATGCTGTTCGCGTTGCTGCTTGGTCTGTGGCTTCTGTGGCTACAGGAGGCGCATGCTCTGGCCATCACCAATGGCCACTGCCAGAAGAACATAAGTGTCAAGTATCAGGTGCCAGTAACCAGATCTCGGGCCAACGAGAGCAACAATAGCGACAATGACACCGAGGCCGGGGAACAGTTCATTGTGTATGAGGAGCGCGTGCGCTGGGACACTGTGCAGGTGTGTTGTCCCGGCTATCGCACCATTATCTTTGGCTTTTGTGAGCCCATCTGCACCGAGCCCTGTCCCACGCACAGCTACTGTGTGGAGCCGAACAAGTGCCACTGCCTGCGCGGCTACGAGCAGTCGCATCACGCCAACCGACAGCACCAGCTCATCTGTCGACCCATCTGTCTCGGCGGATGTCCGGAGCACAGTCACTGTGTGGCCCACAACGAGTGCGAGTGCCGCGTCGGGTACAAGGATGTGAGTAGCTGGTTCGCACCATTACGCTGCCAGCGGATACAATGCGGTCCAGATCAGCGTTACGATGTGGCGCGACGCGCGTGCGTCAAGATCGAGATGAGCATGGAGGAGCTGATGCAGCGGGTAGCCGATCGCTTGGCACACGGTCTGGACCTGGACAACGAAAGCGAGCGGCCGGACAGAGACGAGATGGAGGTTTACGAGCAGCCCTATTCTAGTGTGAAGAATGAGAGCTAAATTGTTTACCCAGAAATATATTCGATGTGAAAGCTATACCTTATTGTTAAAGGTCTTAATTTTCTTCAATTAACGATAGAAGACGATCATCAAATAAGTGTTAGCGTTAGGCGAGAAATGGAAAGGAAGCGCTTACACCTAATTTATAGAAAATTTTTTTAAAGATATAATACAACTAAGTTTTTCAAAAAGCATCTTCATCTTATGAAAGAAGTCTGGATTAAGGGATATATACGAATTGTCCTAAATAAATAATTCAACTATAGAGAAACTTTTTCAAAAATTTTTCAAATAATCTTCATCTTTTGAAGAAAGTCTGGATTTGGGAATGGATAGGCAAATAGTTTGACAACAAACTTTTGCTCTGTGTTGTTTGTTTCTTTCTTTATTCATAATGTCTGGAAGAAAAATTACAACTATGGATAGAACTTTTTCAAAATGATCTTCATCTTTTGAAGAAAGTCTGGATTTAGGAACAGACAGGCAAATAGTTTGACAACAAACTTTTGCTCTGTGTTGTTTGTTTCTTGTCGCAGGTATTTTATTCATAATGTCTTGAAGAAATATTACAACTATGGATACAATTTTTTCAAAACGATCTTCGTCTTTTGAAGAGAGTCTGGATTTAGAGATATCGTCAATTAGGCGAGAATGAAAGATAAATTTTATTGGAATTTTCTAGTAGAAATAACACTATGGATACAACTTTTTCAAATAATCGTCATCTTTTCAAGAAAGTCTGGATTTGGGAATGGATAGGCAAATAGTTTGATAACAAACTTTTGCTCTGTGTTGTTTGTTTCTTTCTTTTATTTATAATGTCTGAATACAACTATGGATACAAGCTTTTTAAAAGCATCTTCATCTTTTGAAGAAAGTCTGGATTTAGGAACAGGCAGGCAAATAGTTTGACAACAAACTTTTTCTCTGTGTTGTTTGTTTCTTGTCCCAGCTGTATGTTGCTTTGCCTGCAAATGAGTATTTCGTGTTTAGGAGAAAGTCTAAAAATATAATTATCTGCTGCAAGATTCTGTAATCTTTTCAAAGAATCAAGTTTGTAGAAGAATAGGCAGCCTTATACATATATTTATTTTCAATTATAAGAATAAGTAAGCTTTTGAAAGAGCGTAAAAATATATCCATGGAATCCTTTTTCGATCTATTCTTTCAAACTGTCAACAGTGTAGCATCAGAACTGATTTTTTACAAACCATATTTGTAGAATTGTGTTGTCTAAATGGGGCTTTTGCTACTTACCTATCTTCGCTCAGAGGGCTAACTAATTCTTGATTGGCTTTCGTCTTCTTACATCTTAGCCTAGCCAGTTAGTTTCAATAAAGAGTCATTTTAGTTCCAAATGATGGTCTATTTTCGTTTCAAATTTGAAAAAGTATATGCATTTTCTCAATATTTCAGTAAGTAGTAACACGAAGAAAACTTATCACCTAAAAGTATAGAATATTAAGTATTTCTAAATGTATACACATATTAGTGTACGCTTGATAGTAAGTATGGTCCTAGGTTACGATTCCTTCACTCGCCGTCTTTAATTGGCCACAAACATCAATCACACTACTTCATCTAATGGGGGTATACATATCGAACAGATAACATTGGTATACACCCCTTATAATAATATTAACTTGGCACTCAACATGGCTTCAGAGTCCGTTAAATTCATAATTCAGTATTAAAGCTTAATTCAAGGGTCTCTTCAGTAGCTCTCTTCTGGGCCATAAACATTTGGTTTGGTTTAGCTTTAAGGCAGGATCCCACCAGAGCTTAGGCGTACAGCTTCTCAATCATATCCGTATACTGCTTGGCGACCACATTACGTTTGACCTTTAGGGTGGGGCCCAGTTCGCCGGTGGGAATGGAGAAGTCGTGCGGCAGGATGGCGAATTTCTGGACCTTTTGGGCATTCGAAATGGAGTTCTTGTTCGCACGCTTGATGCCATCCTCAATTGATTTCCAGACCTTGGGGCAGGGACCGGCGTTCAGGATGTCAGAGAGCGTTTTGTGCTCCACGCCCAGCGACTTCATCCACTGCGATGATTCGTGTGTCAGCTCGTCTAGCGGTGCTCCAGTTTCCTTGTCCATTTCCGTCTGTAAATCAGTGGAGTTCAATGTTTAAATAAATTGTCAGTTAAAAAAAAATCGTAAAGAAGGCTCACCTTAATGGACACCAGCACTGTCAAGTATTTGCGCTGCTCGCCCACCAGGAAGGCATTGGAAATACCGTCCAGCTCCTTCTTAATCATGTTCTCAATGTGCACGGGCGGAATGTTCTCACCGCCAGCTGTGATGATGATCTCCTTGGAGCGGCCCGTCAAGTACACGTAGCCCTTGTCATCGATGTAGCCCACGTCTCCGGAATGCAGCCAGCAATCATCGTCCAGCGACTCTTCGGTCTTCTCCTTGTTGTCGATGTAGCCCATGAACACGTGACGACCTCGTATGCACAGCTCCCCATGTCCGTTGCTATCCTTGTTAATGATCTTCGACTCGCAGCCGGACAGGGTCTTGCCAATAGAGTTCAATTGCATGAAGTCGGGCAGCACAATCGTGTGGCAGCCGCCCGTCTCCGACATGCCGAAGGCATCCAGAATCTTCAGGTCCAGACTGAGGAAGTATTTCTTTGTTTCCGGCGACATGGGAGCGGCAGCGCTTACCAAGGTAATGGCACGATCGAAGCCAAGAGCCTCCTTCACCTTGGACATGATGAGGGATTTGGCAATCTTGTAGCGCAGGCCCCCGTTGCCCTTTCTGAAAAATAAACCAATAAAGATGTTTTAAAACTCTGAAGGTTCTCTAAAAATATTTATACGCTGCTGTTTTATTCTTAGCTGCTTAATGGGCTGCGGTCCCAGACCTTAAATGACAAATACCACCATCTTTGAAATTTATAAGTTGAGTGTTAGATTTGCGAGAGCACGACTTTTGAATACCCTGTTTTCAATTTTTATTTAAATATCGTAACAGCTATCATTTATTTTTCTACGCGACTTGAAAATATCTTATCTGTATAATAATTATGGATATACTCTGCTAAAAGAAAAATTAGCTCGAACGTCTTTATCTCGAATGCATTGTTGTTGAACTTAAAATTGTGCAAATTAAATAGTTGGAAGCAGCTGGTTTAGATTTTCAGTTTAGATTTAGTGTTATGTTCTTTTTTTTTTAAAGCCTGTTCAAAACTGTCTTAAGAATCAGTTAAAACTATATGAGCTGGATTGAGCTTCTGATATGTTCATCTATTTTTTTAATCCATTCAAAATTGTCGTAAGATTATACAAAGAGCTGGACTGAGTTTTCTAGTCTGAGCCTTTTCAAAACATTCATTGGGACAGTCACATGCAGTCTGAGTCAGAGTGAGGACTTTATTGAGAAACGAATTGCTTAAGAATTGCATATATTTCCAGTTCTTATATCAGTCGGAAGACTTAATACTATAAAGAACTCTTGATTGTGTAACAATTCTAAGGAAAAACACTGACTTTTCCGCTTATCACGAATATGAAACAATCTTCTCGATAAAAATGCAATAGCAATTTAAGCGGAAAAGTATGATCAAATGATGAAAGTATTACTTTTTTTTTAAAAATATTTTTTCAGATTATATTGCGAATCGAGGACAACTTGACATTTTTATATAAGAGGCCACTCTATTATAGATTTGTAAGACTGTAAGTACTTTTTGAAATCATCCTTTATGCGCCGTGATTCGAACCAAGTCATACCCATAAATGAGAATGTTCTACTTCTATTTTAAAATACAAATATATATTGCGCACAAACTTCATTTCATAGCTAAGCAGAGTCGTCCCTGATAGCCGCATGAACGCAAAAGCCACATGCCTGGCCGTAAATGCCGGCATTAGTCGGCCACATACTCGCTACAAATGCGAGTACAAGTATGCACAGAGTGGACTCGAGACTTAGCGACGTGTGCAACTTGGCGTATGAGTAATGTTGTTTTCAGAGATTTTCGCTTAGAGTCGAGCACGCCAGCGGCTTGTATTTGCTGTTTTTGTTTTCGTCCCAGCTCTGCGTTGCTTCACCTGCAAACTTTTGCATAATTTAGCGCACGCTGCAAGGATTGCAGTCCGACTAGCTAGCTAGCTAGCGAGCTGGCTATCTGGGCATGTATCCAGGTAGAGAGGGGAGGGGGATATATGCTTTATATTTTGAGTATATGTGTGCATGAGAAATGCCATTGGTATAGCGGCGAGAGGTAATTTCAACTTTGGTGCTGTCAGTCGAGCCACTTTAAACGTGCATTCTTTTTGCATAATTCATGCGCCACAATGTTTGAAGTTTAAGTAGTTGGGGATCCCAGCTTGCCACTTACCCTTGACTCTCCATATAATGTTTGAGTGTGATGCCTTTGGCCCAGCTGGCTAGCATTTTCTTCATGCTGCCGCTCGATGCAGCCACGGCCACCATTCGCTCCTGGAACTTTTCATAGACACGCGGCACACCCATGAAGCGTGTGGGACGGGCATCCTGCAGCGACTTCACGAGCGTGCCCTTGAGTGCATCCTTGTCGGCAAACCAGATGCAGCAGGCTATCGATGCTGCCGTATAGATGTCCACTGTCTGGGCGGCGACGTGCGACAACGGTAGATAGGAGACAATCGCCTCAGAGCCAGCCACCACGCGCTCCAACGATTTGACGATGGCGCGCGTATCGAAGGCAATATTATCGTGACTCAGCATCACGCCCTTGGGCATGCCCACTGTGCCGGAGGTATAGACCAGGCAGCAGCACTCATTGATGGCAATATTCTCCAGGCGACGCTTGAACTCATCCTCCACATCACTCACATTCATCGCCTCGATTTCGGACCACTTGAAAGGAAGAGAACATTTATTAGCTACTATTTTCCAAATAAATTTGCGAGCGAATTCATTAAATAGTCGTTTTAGAGAGCCTTTTATTTGAGCTAACTAGACCGTCTTTTTTATAGATTTCTTATAAAGATATAAACCGAATTCACACTGAAAAATAATTAAGTATCTTTTAGGTTTAAAACTGTGGAAAGGGCAGAAGTTTGTAGTCATCTGCATTTCGAGTAATTGTACTATACTGGCAAATCGTTATAATTCAGAGCAAAGCCAAGGTCGGCAGAATAAAGTATTATGCATTTCCATTGGCTGTACATGGAATATTGAACCATTAATCCTCTGCATTCGACTCCAAAATAGATAGCTTTTTTCTCAGAATCAAATTATTTAAAACGACTTCACGAAGCTTCGATGTCACAAAACTTCACGACTTCACGAAACTTCGATGTCAATTAGGATTCGCAGCAATTAGGAAAGTCCAAAACCATTTCGAGCGACTTACCCTATAGTAGCCATCCTCTTTCATTACATAGGGGGCATAGGGCTCCTGTGTTTGAATGACTGCCTTCAGGAGGGGCAGCTTATCCTTAATGGAATGTATTTTGTCCATCTGCTTGGCATCGTCAACCACCACAATTTGGGCCTTTGAGTTCTCCAGCACATGCAGCACAGCATCAGCCGAATTTGTGGTATATATGCCAGCAATAATGCCCCGTGCGTGAATAGCGCCCATCGCCGAGTAAAACCATTCGGCACAGTTAAAGGCCAGCACGCCCACCGAATGGTGCTCCTCGAGGCCCAGTTTGATGAAAGCCTTTGCAGTCTGATGCACTTTTTGCTCATATTGTCTGTGGGTTGGGTGGCGAAAATTCAATAAAAATTCATGCCACATAATCAAATTCGCAGTGGGGCGTGGAAAAAAAACATTGCAAAAAAAGTTTCAAATTAATTTAAGCGCCGACTCACCTGAAGGTAACTGTGTGGTAACCATTTTTGCCATTCTTGGTGCGCAGCGCCGGGTAGTCGGGGTAGTTGTTAACCGTGCGTTTCAGCAGACCGGGTATAGAGATGGGCTCCTCAGCCCCCAGTCCCTCCTTTTGCATACGGATTTTCACCGCCTGTGTGGGATCTACGGTACGATAGACATCGGATGGCCGTAGGCGATTGGGGCCGGGACGATTGTACAGCGCTTCGCTCGTCGACATTTCGAGTTGCAATCAAGCTGAAAAATTCAATTCCAAAGTAATTATACCTTAGCATCCATATATCTATATGTACGAGTATGTATTTGTGCAGTATTTTCCACTTAAAAATTTTCATTTTGTTGAATAAATGTTGTAAATAAAATTAGTTGCCAGCTGCTTTGGAAATCGCCTGATCTGTGTCTAAAGTGCGTTTCAATATTCAGCGATAAGGTGTACCCGGCTTATCATTTTCTTCAGATTAGCTACTGATTAGTCTAGGGCAGTGCGTAGGGCTTGGGACCCACCACATGAAAATTTTTTACTCCCAGTGAAGGACATAACAACAGCCTCGGATAAGGAACACCCAAAAGTTGACGACCCTAGCAAACGTTTAAAGGACCACGATTTAAGGATATGCACCTGGAATGTCCGGACCCTTAACAGAGGAGGTGCTACTATCCAATTGGCGGATGCTCTCAATAAAGTAAGAGCTGACATCACCGCCATCCAGGAAATGCGATGGACAGGTCAGGGTTGCTCCCAAAGAGCAGCCTTTGACATCTACTACAGCTGCCATGCAGAAAGACGCGAATTTGGATGCGGTTTTGCGGTCAGCAAGAGACTGCGTAACTGTGTCTCTAGGTTCACACCTGTGAACGAACGGCTGGCAACCATCCGTGTCAAGGCGAGATTTTTCAACATAAGCCTGATTTGCGTCCACGCTCCGACGGAGGACAAAGACGAGATTACCAAGGACGAGTTCTATGCGAGACTGGAGACAGTCTATGACCGCTGCCCCTCTCATGACATTAAAATTGTTCTTGGCGATTTTAATGCCAAGGTTGGAAGAGAGCGCGTCTTTGCCCCGACAGTCGGACAATTCAGCCTCCACGAGACAACATCCAACAATGGACTGAGGCTAATTGACTTCGCCGCAGCACGAAACATGGTGGTGAGTAGCACCAGATTTGAACACCTTGATATCCACAAAGCTACCTGGCAGTCACCCGATCGAATGACAAAAAATCAAATAGACCATGTTGTGATAGATGGAAGGCATGCATCCAGTGTGCTGGACGTGCGTACGTTCCGTGGTGTGAATATTGATTCGGACCACCAACTTGTTGCAGCCAAGGTCCGCATGCGATTATGCATGGCGAAAAATGTACGCCCCAACACGCAGCGAAAACTAGACGTCGGAAAGCTGCTAGCACAACAGACTGCCGAAGCTTACTCCGCTCAACTCTCTGAGCTGCTTTCTCAACCGCTCTCGGAAACCGATACTGGTAGCGGACTTTGGGCACATATTTCCCGCTCACTGCACACAGCCGCAGAAGATGTCATTGGTTTCCAACAGCCGCTACCGAGAAACCAATGGTACGACGAGGAGTGCCGCGAAGCCACTGCAGCGAAGAATGCCGCGTACAAAAGAACCCTGCAGACGGCGACAACGCGCGCTGTGCATGATGTATATCGGGAGAAGAAGAGGGAGGAGAGGCGGCTTTTTAGACGCAAGAAGAGAGAGCAAGAAAAGCGAGAGCGAGAGGAGATGGAGCTTTGTAGAGACAGGAACGACGCTAGGAAATTTTTCCAGAAGGTGAAGCGTCTAACGCAAGGTTTTAAGCCCGCAGCGTCAGCCTGTAAGAACTCGGAAGGAAATCTGGTGGTGGACGGGCAAGCGGCACTGAGACTGTGGAGGGAACATTTCTCCAATCTTCTATCAGGCGAAGATGTTAACAATTCCGCCAGCGGAGATGACCCCACAGAACCGATCGCCGACGATGGTATTGAAGTACCGTCACCTAGCCATGACGAAGTCGAAACAGCCATCCAGCGGCTCAAAAACAACAAATCTGCGGGAGCAGATGGGCTGCCTGCGGAGCTGTTTAAGGCAGGCGGCAATGAGTTGGTAGGGTGCATGCACCAGCTCATTTGCAAAATATGGCTAACTGAAAGCATGCCTGATGATTGGAATCTCGGTGTCCTATGTCCCGTCTTAAAAAAAGGTGATCCCACGGTCTGCACCAACTATCGTGGAATCAGCCTTCTTTCCGTCGCATATAAGGTCATATCAAGCGTAGTGTGTGATAAGCTAAAGCCATTTGCGATAGCACTGATTGGGCCTTATCAGTGCGGCTTTATGCCTGGTAAATCCACCACTGACCAGATATTCACGCTACGCCAAATCCTGGAGAAAACTCATGAGTTTCAAATCGATACCCACCATCTTTTCGTCGATTATAAAGCAGCATTCGATAGCCCGAGGAGGGAACGTGTATATGCCGCACTGTCTGAGTTCGGTATCCCTGCAAAGCTAGTGCGACTTTGCAGAATGACGTTGAGCAACACTCGTAGCTCCGTCAAGGTAGGAAAGGACCTCTCCGAACCCTTTGATACCGTTCGAGGTTTCAGGCAAGGCGATGCCCTCTCGTGCTATCTCTTCAACTTCCTGCTGGAGAGTGTGGTGCGCAAAGCTGGTGTACACCGAGGCGGAACGATCTTTTTTAAAAGCGTTCAGCTTCTTGCGTACGCTGATGATATAGACATTATCAGCCGTACCAGGAGAGGCGTCACCGGAGCATTTGCGGCTATTGAGAAGGAAGCTGCAAAAGTGGGTTTGGTGATAAATGAGAGCAAAACTAAGTATATGTTTTCCTCTAGCAGGGACACGCGGCAACCAGACTCCCAGATCGCGGTGGAAAACTATACTTTCGAAATGGTGAAAGATTTTATGTATCTTGGCACCACTGTCACAGCAACCAACGATGTCAGCCTAGAAATCAAATGGAGATTAACTCTAGCCAATCGATGCTACTTCAGCCTCAGTAGGCAATTGAGTAGCAGAGACCTTTCCCGAAAAACCAAGCTAACGCTCTACAAGACGCTCATCCTCCCCGTGCTGCTTTATGGTGCAGAAGCATGGGTGATATCGCAGACTGATGCAGCAGCTCTTGCAGTGTTTGAGAGAAAGATGCTTCGGAAGATCTTCGGTCCCATACGCGTTGGCGACGACTACCGCATACGATGGAACAGCGAACTGTACGAGCTCTACGCTGACATTGACATAGTCAAGCGAATAAACATCCAGCGGCTAAGCTGGCTAGGTCATGTCGTGCGTATGGAAGAAGACGCTCCAGCGAAAAAAGTTCTCGATGCGGATGTTGGGGGGAGACGACGACGGGGGAGGCCTTGCCTACGTTGGAAGGACCAGGTAGAGAACGCACTTACTACCTGCGGAGTGACCAACTGGAAGCGACGCGCGCGAAGCAGAGGCGCGTGGAGAGCTGTGTTACGTCAGGTCATAGCCCGATAACGGGTTTGAAGACCAGTCAAGAAGAAGAAGAAGTCTAGGGCAGTGTGAGGCATTTCCAGAGGTCAGCGAAACAGTTGAGTCGAAGATCAATTCACATTTTTCCATGCAATAAAGTGAATCGCTACAAATACTTGTAGTATTTATTTGAAATGCTCGCCTCATTATTTATGGTATCTGTTTTTTATCAAAAGTCCAACTTCCCACCTCTAATCGCACTTGACTACCGCAGCACAGGCCACTAAAATAGTCGTAGTAGTTATCAGTTGTTATAGCGCCGGTAAATATCTAAAAAGACATTGTTTTAAGCGTTCAGCTCTTTCTTTTCTTATCACACATTAGAGTCTTGGCCAGGCACAACCCATTGGTTTTATATTTGGGTGCAAAGGGCACAACAAATGCTGGCGATATATCAACAAACACATGGTTCCATGGATTCCATAATTTTTATTAATCAATAAACATGCGACAGCACGACAGTGTGAAAATAAAAGTTTTGATAAGAAGCACACATACCGAAAATAAACAACTGGGCATTCTAATGGACTTGTCGCTTGAAAGTAGAAGAGTTCGCCCGCATAACTGATATGCCAGAAGTTGGAAAAAAGTGTACGTAATTATGGCTAATGCGATGTAATCATGAATAGTTTTAAAAGTTAGCACAGACAGTTTTAACACTTCCCTTTATAATCGCTTTGTATGATTGATTGGCGGCTGGCTAGACAAAGTGATTCACAGCCGCAGAAAAACTCACAATGAATTGCAGATAGCAATAAATATGTGAAAAACTGAAGAGTGTACCTTGTGGGGTTTTGGTGAAAGTTGTGTAGGTTTGTTTAGATACAACTGTAAACTTTATATGTAGATGAATGCAAGGAATATCTATACAAGGTTGAGTTTTTCTAGCATTGCAGATCCACGCAATATTTGGGTTCATACCTGCAAACAGGAAATTGAATTTGCTGCATGATTTCTTTTAGGCCTAAGTATAGATGAATGCAAGGAATGTCGATATAAGGTTGAATTTCTCTAGCGTTGCAGAACCACACAATATTTGGGTTCATACATGCAAACAGGAAATTGAATTTGCTGCATGATTTCTTTCAAGCCTGCCACATAAGCTGTTCAGATACAAACGCAAACTTTAAGTGTTGATAATTGCAAGGAACAAGGTTAAGTTTCTCTACCATTCAAGACCTATGCAATATTTTGGTTCATACATTCAAACAGGGCATTGAATATACTGCCTGATTTCATTCAAGCGTGGCACAACCTTGTATAGTCTCTTAGAACTATTTACAAAACTGCTGTTTCATGGAAAACGAATTGGTGAGCGCTCAGCTCAAGGTTTTGTTTATTAAAACTACACTGCTAAATTATAATGATTACAATCAGTCAATCACGAGAGAAATGAACCAGCACTTATGGCTGAGCAAAGTTCGAGACGCTCTCTGTTGCCAACAATTGTACAGCTTTAAATTTAAACATAAATCATGCATGTGATAGTTCAGCTCAGACACGCATTTGTATAATTTGCAATCAAAACTATAAACTTCCATTTCAAAATTTCACATGATGATTAATCAGAATGATCTGAAACTTGGAACACACGCGATGGGCACATGATGGTAGGAATATTGAATTCAATTGCGAGTAGCAACTCGGAATGCGTGCCAAAATAAAAATTATTATTTAAATATGCGCAGTTTTTGTTCCTATTCTAAGTATGTAGTTGTTGTTGTGGTTAGGCGCCGAACTACTAAGCATAGAAAACCGGCTTTCTGATAAGAAAACATTCCAGTCATACGATATAGGCAGACTTATTTACTCACTACAATTGTTAGTGGCTTTACTTATACTTGGTTTGTTAAAGAAATTGTATGTAAAGGAATTACCTCCAAAGATAAAGAAATATTATGGTTTCAAATAATGGGTTTTTGTATTGGAAAATAGTTGAAAAATGATTTTTAATGAATGGTAAACATTTTAAATAAATGGTAAACACTTTTCATGAATATTAAATTAAGAACAACATTTTTAAAAACGCTGCCTTTTCGCTGCAGAAGCTTGGTTGTACATTTTTTTTAAATAAATAATATATTTAATTAAAAACAAGAGCAGAACTTGTTTAACAAAATAGTGGCAATAAATGCAGTTACATTATACTTGTTACTCTTTATCTTCTGCTACTCCCAATATAAAAAGTTGGGTCCTCAGTTTCTTCAGTTTTTCAATTAATAGCATATCATTAGTAGAAATGATTTTAAGTGGAATTCATATAATCTCAACAGTCGAAGACTTAATTCTCTTGAATAGCTGTTATTCAACTCATTTAGTGACTGATATTGCGTGACTCACAGATTCTTTCGTGAGGCTAATTGTCCTTTCATAGCAATCGCACTGCAATATCCGCAATACTTGAAAGATTTTGCTTTCTTTGTGACTCTACTTGCTTCCACAATTACTTTAATTACAATACTTAGAAGCTTTCTATGACACTCTTTTTTTGGGTGACTATATAGTCTGATTCAGCTGCTTTTTATCCGCTAAAAATTGCTGACAAATATCATACCAATAGCGTACAAATTAACGGACTAATCGGTCCCCTTTTTATCCGACATTTGCACAAAAACCTTACTGCTGGTTAACAAATTTTGATGGAATATAATTTCTATGCCGCTCTTTAATTTGTGTATACTCTACTTCCACAATTACTTTAATTACAATACTTAGAGGCTTTCTATGACACTCTTTTTTGGATGACTATATAGTCTGATTCAGCTGCTTTAAATCTTCTTAAGAGCGCCGATAAATATCATACCAATAGCGTACAAATTAACGGACTCATCGGGCCCCTTGTTACCTTTTTTACAAATTTTGATGGCATATAATTTCTATTTTCCACTATTTAATTTATGTATTTGCTTAAATAAATTATCTGCTTGCTAAGCCTAGAGTTAATTTTCTATAGTTTATAGTTTTTTTTTTAACAGTTTCCGCAAACTGCCCGCCACATTTTTGCAAACATTTGTTCTTCAACAGAAAAACAGAAAAACACAAACACAAAGTCAAGAAGCTGCGTATAAAAACAAAACTGATAATGGGGGCACGTCTAAAAATATATTTTTCTAGGTATATTTGGAATGGCGTGTCTTCGTCCGTCCACGCGCCAAACGCCGGTATTTCGCGACGTCGAATAGAGGCGGGCACTGGCTGTCTAGGCAGAGCCGAATAACGGAATATTTTTGACATGGGAAGACAGGCGACAGCGTGGAAGAGAGTCTGTTATGATGCTTGTGTTTGAGAGAGATAGGGTGAGAGGGAGAGAGAGAGGCGTGGGTGCTGGTGTTCAATAATTGGAGAAAAGTGAAAAGATAATAGAAAGGCCAAAGACCTCGGCAGGCGGTAATGAACTCTTCTAGCTACATCGATTTAATTCGTGAAATGCAGTGGAAGATATTAGAGTTCATTTCATTTAATTTTTTGCATATCGTTTTGTTTTTCCTTTTTGATCAAGAAATGGCGCACGTGTTTAAGCAGCTGGCCAACTTATTTGTTCATTCTTCGTTTTTATTTTTTTAAGGAAATTTTTGTTGCTGCAGCACTTTATTTGTATTTATGAGCGGATCAACTTACATAATTTATGGTAAATGAATGCAATGAAAGCGTTTAAAGTGCTTTTAATTTAATAATTATTTGGCAAAACACACGACGCAAATCACTCGAATTCTCGTAACAGGCACGACCGCACGCAGCGAAGTCTGAGCGTGAACTGAAGATCGTGCAGGACTCGAAGCTATAGAAAAGTTTCTGCTTTGTCGCCAAGATCGCGCGCCGCTGTCGATTGTGATGTTTGCGCTTACGTTGGCGTCGACGTTGACGTTGACGCTGACAGTGATAGTGATAGCTAGCAAGGCATTATGCGACTCTACCTGATCGTGTGCCGCCTTATCAGCGAGTACTCGCATCTGCGCTCCCGCTCGCACGCCCTCAAATGATGCCGCACTTGGTGTGAGCAACAACAACAACAACAACAACAGCAACAGCAACAAGAGTCGTATTGATCTTTGGTTTGACACTGAAAAACTGCTGGCGCTTATCAGACCAAAAATTTCTTACAAATACATACACACATGCACTCATATGTGTGGCCGCAGGCACCGTTATATTATTGAAAGACGCAAGCGATCTAATGACCACTTCGATGGCTGCATAATCTCCCCAACACTAGGATCTAGCTTTTTTCTTTCTTTTCTTTTTCGAGCACTTATCAGCCTTATCATATGCTGGTACATAGGGGCCATACTAGTATGTGCATATAGCATGTATACAAGTACATAAATAGTACATATTTTTCCATGCTTTTTCAAAACTCTCAATTTAGTTCGAGTGCGTGACGTTTTTCAATTTGAATTACTAGTCTTTTTTCCACAGACTTTGGAATGTACATAGATAAATACTATATATTATACATATGTATATTCGTACAGCCTTAATCAAAATGTTCAATTAACATACCTACTTATTAAATAGTTTCAAAACAATAACAATGAAATGCATAAAAGAGCTTTTTCCGAAATATTTTCAATAAATTCTCCATATGTTCTAGGTTTGCCTCTGACCTTAATAACGACTTCCAAACTTGCAAGTTATTGCTCATTCTAATTTATAGTTTTTCAACTGGAAATTTGGAAACTTCTTCCCGTCACAGTTTCCTGCTCATTAAATTTCTTACAGTAATGAAAGGTAGAAATCCGTTCTTTCCGCCTTTATTTATTTTAAAATCTTCTGCTGATAGGATCTTGAAATAGTGAAAAATTGAAGCTGTTCAATTAGTTTCTGAAATCGTAAAAATGCATTCAAGTATGCGTTTAGCAAATATTATAATAATTTAATTATAATTTGAGTAGAAACGCCCTATATTTCTGATAAAGAACAGGAAAAATATCCAGAAACGCGCATGAAGAAAGAAGGTTTTATACTATACAAAAGTTTTCGAAACACCCTTTACTCAGAAAGAAAATTGGGAACAATATTTATTTTATTAAAATTATTCACAAAAATTGGATGATAAATTTGTGTCTTTCTACAATTAGTTAACAATGTAGAATTCAGGTTATAAAACCTTATCTACTTAATTAGATATACTTTTTTACAGCTTGTGAGTAAGCCTAGTAATATGGGGATTATTATTTATTTACTGTTTTATAGGAAACTTATTATACAATTGCTTAATCTTCAGGAAATTCGTTAGAACATTCAAATGCTTTAAAAAACATATTTTTGAATATGAAAAATATACCTGACATTGAAATAAATACTTTTTTATGTTTTATTTATTTACACAAACAATAAGTAAATATATGTAGCTTTATTTAAAACTAACAGGAATGGAGAGTTTCCTTCTATTATATTACATTGAAATATGTTTGTAAAATAGAGTCTTTAGACTGTTATTTATAGGATACAATAACAAGCCTAGCTCTGTTTTCGATAGAAAAGAAAAGATTATCCGAATTGAAGATCTCGCAAGGCTCTGTAGATTTGTTAAAATAAACCAATTTAAAATATATTTTATTGCATTAGAAAATGTGGGGAAGATATTCTGCAAATTTTACTTCAATAGGTTGTCAGTATTCCATAAATTCAAGTATATATTCAGGTTTTCAGCTTTAGCTTCCATAGAAATATACATTTAATTCAGTTCTGTTGCGCTTTTTATACTTTTTAAAGCCCTTTTTATGTTTTCTTCAAATTTATTTTTTATTCTCTACTGGAAATAGCCGTTTTTAACATTATTTTGATAATAAACTATATAATTTGTAAGAAATTTGTCTGAGATTTGATTTGCTTTTAATTTTTGGAGATAAATGTTTTAATCTTTTTTTTAAATGATCATTTTTTGTTTCCTTTCAAGTTTCTTTGCAAGTTTCTTTTCTACGCTTCAGCTACAATTGCAATTAAAAAAGTATGGATTTGTCTCATGACTCAGCAATCCGAATGATACAAATACATTTTTATATATTACATTCTATATATTATATATTTATGAAGCTGTACTAATTATTTGCGCTCTTTCGCACTGAAAACTGTTTTCCCAGCTTGCTTGGCCTCGAGACTAGTCATGAACGTGACTTCGCCCAGACAGTTTTATCGCTAATATTATTACACCACATAATGTACAAGAACCGCTATATTTTCAACTACGCACTTGGATCGGAAGTTGTTTCTCCTCTGCCTACAAAAGAGTAAAGCCCTGATGGATCAACTTATTTAATTTGGAATTCCCAAGCAATCAAGCAGTTAGTTAGTTATCCAGCGAGCCTTCCTATTTAATTTGCGAATACATAACAAATATTATCAGTAACCGTTGACTGATTTGAGTTTTATCGTCAATTCCGTGCAAAGTTCAACATTTTCATACCCAATACCAACCTTTTTAGTCATTTCCTGGCCAACATGCTAACGTATTCAAGACAATATCTTAAAGGTCAATATTATAATAAGAGTTTAATAAAAAAAAGGAATAGAAAGCAAAGTTATTTAATTCGAAGGCCGATGAGCTAATATAATTATGGCATAAAGTGAATAACCGATGCAAAGACCTATGGGACTGTTGCCAATTGTGTTGATTGCTTATCAACTTATAGTATACGGGTTTCGGTCCGTTTTATGATCCGCACAAGACTCTGTTGGGCAATTCTAACAGTAGTAGGGGAATTCGGTATTACGCCACCTCACTCCCCCTATACATATATACTCGTATAAGGCGGCAAGTCTGTTTAATCTCTGGCAGGAGCATTTCATTCAGAGCTCCGTCTTTCAAAACACTACTCGTATGCGCGGATCAGTTTTGTATTTTTAGCCCAGAAACGTAGCAGTTGTTGTTGTTGTCAATGGGGGGGTATTAGCTCATAATTTTAGGTACTTCAATGGCCAATACAATGTCAACAGATTAGCAATCGCTCAGATTAGATACACTGCCTTTTTCAATAGCTCATATAAATCACAATTGCTGGTTCTTAAAATATGTGATTATCTCTGGATCGAAGATCTGCCAAGGAGACCTTTGCCCTCCAAAGCCAGAGCCAATCGAAATAATGATTGCATTTGACGCCACAAAACAAAAGCGGAAAGTCTCTGTAGTTTCCTTAAATAGCTCCCCATTTATAGCTGAACGTCCTTGCTCTTCGACTAATGAGTCTCCAGTTAATTATATTGTTTCTGATTACATTTATAATCTCTTGAAATTTGGTTTAACCTCGCAGTAAAACGTCATGTCCAGCGTATTCTGCACAACTGATAAGAGACGCAAATTAATTTAAATATTCAAATTCTGCTATATAATGGGAAACCTGAAAACCACCACGTAAGCCACAACGGAAGTTGTCACGTGTGTGTTTTCTCTTTAAATTGAATTATGCAAGAATCTATTTAATTTACGAAGCCGAGCACTAGTATGTATTAACTGGCATGATAATCATAACAAATCTCTAAGTTATTGTCTAATTTTATTGAAAAAAGTAAACCAAAGAATCTTTGCTGAGATTAGAGTAATTATATATAGCATGTTTAAAATAAATACAAGTATAATATTTTGAGTTCAAGGACATTGTGGCAGATTAACAGTTCGTTAAGTTATGTGAAGCAATTCTATTTATAATGAAACAACAGAAATTTGATAATTTAAATTAATTTTAGTTTTCGTTAAGTTAAACGAAGCACGTCTATTTAGATTGAAACATAAGGAATTTGATAATTTTGTTGATAAAGCATGTGAACGTGTTTGTCTTTATTTGAATTATCTCCTAATGTTGGAAATTAATAACAAGGATTAATAGTTTAGGCTCTCTTTTGTATTCACTTTTTCTTCTTTTTGGTCGATGATATAAATAAATAAATACTAAGTTATGAGTTGTATGACAGACATCTTTAAGGCTTATCCATCTGAGAGGCTTCAGAACTGAGATAAATCAGTGGGAAATTAAGACAACGGTTTTAAATAAACGCTAGAAGAAAACACTTTTAATACATTGTAAGTATTAATAAAAAGAAAGGAACAATTTCGCAATTTATGAACTTTATACATAAAAATATGAGCTCTTCCATCATTTCGTAGAAAGTGGAACTCTTTAGAATTCACAACAGACCTGATAGCTAAAATGATTAATCATTTATTATAAATTGCAGCATTAAACAAAATTTAAAAATAAACTGGATATAGAGTCGAAGGCGCGAGTAGCTAGCACTCGTTAATCTAATATTAAGTTTAGTATTAGATGCTAGATTTAATTTGTTAAAATAAAATAAACTGGAGATAATAAAGCAGTCTTAGGAATAAATTCCACATTTGTTAAAATAAAATAAACTGGAGATAATAAAGCAGTCTTAGGCATAAATTCCATCTTAAATCTTTCAGAATTTTCGAAAGAATCCATCCCAGAGTTTTCTCAAGAATAGCTTTGTTGTCAATTAAGCTCTTTTAGTCGAAAAACTATCATTTATATCTCGTTTCGTATAGAAACATATGCATTCAAACCTCTTTTTTTGTATAAAAAACATCTTTTTTTAATGAAAACCCATTGTCCTATTAGGCGAACTTTCCAAAGCATCAGCAATGATTTTTATAGCTTTAAGATCTATTTCTATGTAGATTATAGGTAAGAACCTAGTTAACTTTCCCTGACTTTCGTTCACTTTTTCAGTTATTTTAAGTTAATTAAAGGAAAGCCTGGGTTTGATAAAAAATTTCCTATACTTGGTGAACAATTTCTTGCAAACAGTTTCCTATTGTTGCCATACTCTATAGTTGCAGTGGTTTGGTGTTGGTTCGATTGTATATTAATTTTATGTTTCAAAAGCTTAGTTAACTAAAACACTCAATATTTTTATACTCTATACCCAAAGGAGATTATTTTCAAGCAAAGTACTATAGCTAAGCTGGCAGATGGAAGCTTCTCAGCATGAAATATATATAAATTCTTAGTTCATCCTTCATTCAATTTAAAATTTCACCTTAATTAAAAACATAATACCGAGACAAGACAGCTCGTCTATCAGTTTTTGATTAATCTCCGTAACTTTTAAATAATTTCCTACCTTTATTTTAGTTTTCATTCATCATCTATAAATTCCGTCATATCTGTGCGCATACAAATTAATCGCACTGTAAAAGCTTTTATGCAAGCTTTGTTCATTTAGCCAAGCTCTCAACCACTTGAAAGCTTTCGCTCTTTTCGCCGCAAACTTGTTGCGCTGTAAACGCGAATATGGAATACAGCAAAGGAAATACTATATTTATAAACAATTATTCCCTTAAGAATGAGTTTTGAGAATGCAAAGATATGTTTAGTTGATTTTCTATGAAAATAAGGAAAACATTGTTATTTATTGAAACACCACACATGTTTATTCAGAAAAATGTTAAGCGACAAGGAAACAAATCTCAAATGGATTCCATTGGGTGTCAGTTTTCGGATGAGGATAGCAACGTCATTGAATCCGAAGGATCTATAAGTTATTTACCATCATTTTTTTTGTAGCTGCAATTGTAGGTGTTGATATGCACGCATGTGCTATATGTATCCAGCAGCCATATCCTTGCCTGTCCATATCCTGCGAGGCTGACGCTGACGCTGATTTGATGTCATGCTAATGAGGTCGTTGTCATAGTTGCGTTGCCTCTTCCAACTGCGCTGCTGTTGCTGTTATTTACTCCTTACCCCCCCCACTCCCTGGGGATGCAGTCCTAAAGTCTGCTTGAATTAAACACACGGCGTTTAGCATGCAAATAGCGGATGGACGAGGGGAGGGGATGTGTTGATGTGCTCTAAAAATAAGCGCTTAACCCACTTAAGAGCAGGTAATGAACGTGTCGCAGCATTTTAAACAAGTCCAAAGCAATGCCTGTTTCATTATTGCAGGATATAGAGGGATATAGAGGGGGGAGGCAGCAACAGTTGTTTAGAAGGGGATAAGAGTTTGGCTAATTATCACAATGGCGGAATGGCAATGGCCAGAAACAAACTCAAACAATGGCGAAGTTTGCGAAAAAACAACTACTGCTGGTCTTTGTAGCTTTGTAGCTGCATTTAATTGATGCTCCACGCCCCCACAGATTGTTTCAAGGGGACGATAAAGTCTCCTCAGCTGCTTTTAATTACAAGTATTACTCTTAAATATAACTACTGCTACTAACTACTTATATCATCAAATAATTTGTGAAAAATAACAACACAATTCGATGCTAAAACAATATTATTAAACAGTATATTATTAATTTCGCAATACAATAAACGGATAATACGATTGTGTTCTCGACTTTAATTGAATCAAAGGAAATAAAACAATTCCATTATGATGGGTTTTATTCATTTATTCTTCTCAATAAATACAATAAACACATCATTTATAAAATCGTTTTGCATTAATAACGACATATATATCCACATCAATATTCATTTGAAATAAGCCCTAAATTTTGGCACTGGAATCAATCCAAAAAGTTTGAAATAAAATTATAGAAAGAATAAAAAGCTTGATTGTAGTTCTGCAGAAGAAATATTATATATCATAAGAAAGCACGAGAGAAGGGGGTACTGTAATCCCAAAAACTTCCTTTAATCAAAAAGAAGAAAGAAAACAAACGTTACAACAGCCAAGGCGGGAAGGGGGTTATCATAGTTCCAGTCCTATAACTACTCTCAGGAATAACTGAACTGTGACATTTCGTTGATGGGTAAGCGTACCCAGTTCCCCTGCTAATTAAATAAAAATAAATAATAAATCATAGATAGCTTTGGGAAATTATAAATACAAAGTCTTCAGTTAAGACACTTAACTTTTTCAGCAAAAACAATTAATTTAAGGGTTGATTTGAATTGAAAAAGATATAATTTTATTTGGAACTTATATTGTTACAATACATAACAATTTTAATTAATTTGATTCGATTATAATATTGTTATGAAAAGCTTGCTCCACATTTTCGTTTTTAGAACGTATAAGTACGCGTACAAGAGATATACACCTAATTTTCTTTTTACACGGTAGATTGGTTCCAGAAACAATCGTGCAAAAAAATACCTCGATAATACACCTAATTCTGTTTATACACGGTAGATTGGTTCCAGAAACAATCGTGCAAAAAATACATTGATCATATCATTCTCTTAGGGACTACTTGTATATGTGCAATTTTTAATTTTCAAACCGTCTTAAAACAGAATTAGGTGTACAATTATTTGTAGAATTCTTACAGGTCCTCCCTAGCTAAATAAATGATTTGTCGAGCATCTACATCGTCCTCCTCCTCTGCCTGGAGACGCCGGCGCTTCAGATACAAATGAGTGAGGAGCGCCACAGCCGCAATCAAGGTGCAAGCAGCAACAATGCAGCCCACAATGAGTGGCCATCTGTTTGTGGCCGCCTTAGAGTCCAGGGCGGCGTTTCTAAGGATATTTTCGGCAGGCGGGGCAGTTGTCGTTGTGGTTGTGGTCGTAAGAGTCTTGGGAGCGGCCACTTTGCAAACGTAGCGCGTCTCCAAGGACTCTGCAGAGTCGGCGAAACTCTCGTTGTTTTCATTGCAAACTAGAAGGTTGCTGAATTGATCGCAACGGCACAGCGTCAAGTCCAAGCAGGGCTTATCATGATCATCCATGCAGATGTTGATGCACTTGGGTGTATCCAGAATGCCCAGCTCATCGTACTCGTGCCAGCACTTGCAGCTGCTGCTGCATTGCATCGCAGGCGGTAGAGTCCGAGTTGCTCTCTCAGTGCTCGCTAAGGGCAGCTCAGAGCTCGAATCAATGGATGAGCTATCTGCCCAGGTGGTGGGAATCGTGGATTCGATGTCTGCCCAGGTGGTGGGGATTGTGGATTCGATGTCTGCCCAGGTGGTGGGGATTGTGGTTGTCGTGCTTAGACGCTGACAGCCTGGCTGTCCAGTAACGCTCTCAAAGCCTGGCCAGCATTCACAGTGGCCCGGGGCTAAGCAGTCTCCGAACTCACAGGCTGGACAGTGGGGCTTACATACCGTCTTGCGCTGCTCATCCTGGTACACATACCCCTCCAGGCAGCTACAATGGTTGGGGGCGCTGCAGGTCGCATTAACACATTCCTGCTCGCAGGCGGGCTTGCATACGTGACCCGGCAGATCGGTTGCTTGATCGAACTGCGGCTCGTAGCCCAGATGGCAGATGCACATGTTGGGGGCCAAACAGTCGGCCTTCTCGCAGCTGGGCTCACACACCGGCTCGCATATGTTGATGGAATTGGGGCCCATTTGGTAGCCCGGGGCGCAGGTGCAGACCTCTGGTTCGGTGCAGGTGCCATGCCTGCAGCCCATCGTGCATTGAGGGTCGCAGGTGCTGTTGGGGCTCATCGAGTAGCCGGAATGACAAATGCAACGTTCGGGGGCAGAGCAGAAGCCGTTGGTGCAGTCCTGCGAGCACTTCGGCTCGCACACATGTCCCGGCTGCTCAGGACGAAGCTCGTAGCCTGGCAGGCATTCGCAGAGATCAGGGGCCACACATTTGCCATTCACAGAGCAGGGGCGGGAGCAGTGTGGCTCACAGTGCTGGAAAATGCCCGTGGAAGAGGCTGCATGGAAGGTGTAGCCAGGATCGCAGAGACATTCATCGGGTCGTGCACAACGCGCATTCGCAGGACACCCCTCCTGGCACACTGGTTCGCAGACAATGATGCGGGATATTTCGATGGGATTATGATAGCCTTCATTGCACTCACAAACATTTGGCTTAATGCAGCTGCTGTTCGAGCCACAGCTCGGCTGCTCACAAATGGCTCTGCAGCTCTCGTCCAGCTCCGCTTTCGAGTACCCGAGTTGGCATTGGCATTGTTCTGGCGCCACGCAGACGCTGTTCTTGCCACAGCCAGCGGAGCAGATGGGCTGGCAGGATGGATCGCCCGTCTTCTCATAGCCTGGTTCGCACTCACAGTATTCCGGTGCGGCGCAGTAGGAGTGTGCGGCACAGCCCATACTGCATATGGGCGTGCAGTCGTTATTGGCATCCAGCTTCCAGTACCCGGCGTTGCAAGCACATGTCTCTGGATCCGCGCAGTGGCTATGCTTGCCGCAGCTGGAGCACACGGGCTCGCACATTCCACCACTGTCCCTGTAGCCTTGGTTGCAGCTACAGCTATTGGGGGAAGTACATTTGCTGTTTTCGGGGCACTCGGATCCACACACAGGCTTGCAGTTGTTCCAGGTCCCGGAATTCCACACGATTCCGCTGTAGCCTTCGCAACAAAAGTATTGTCGCTCCAATCTGTGGCGGATCTGTGTGGGAAGATGAAATACATATGGAATGCTTCAATATCCGCACAATCTCTTATCTCTGTACAAGTACTAACTGAACTGACTCACATCTACATACATACTATATGTATGTATGTAAGTGCTTACTTGTATACAAATTTAAAAATACATATAGTATATGTGTTCGTCATTCGTAAGCCGATACAGCTCTGTTCTAATTCTAATTCTAATGCAATCTGCTTAGCATTATTATCATTATTAACTGCTATATAAAAATAAAGTGTTCAGGTTTTATTTACATATGTACATATGTATGTATGTAGTACGGGTATGTAAGCTTTACACATTGTTCTGCTATCTGAGGTTTCGCGAATTATGTAAAAACCTCGTCATGTGCGCAAATTGGATGAATGAGTTAAATATTCAGTGATAACAAAGAGTCTTTTGAGAACTAGTATATAGAATGTACCGGAATATATATCGCTTCTTCATAAATTCTAAGCAACTAAATTGTTTCGTAGATGTTAAAAAACTGATCACTCAGCCCAAATATTAATTGCATTCGAAATATAAATGCAGTTTTTATTATAATTCGAGTGGACTAGGCTCAGTAATTTATATAATAAAATAATATATGTATTTAGGTTTTGAATTGAAATGTTTTCTTACAAATCACAATTTGAATTTCCGGTTAAAACTATAGAACTTACATACTTATATAGATACGAGTAGGAAGGTCCTAAAAGGCTATAATTTTGCGGAGAAGCTTCAGAAACTTTTCCTTTTCAAGAGTGGACACGAATTTAGGTGGTCCTAGCTTTTAAAATAATGTAGATTCTGCCTCGGACGGTATATCTGGTTGTTGCAGAAACTGAATTATTTGCCACTGCCCTTTCCAGGACAGAGTATAAGCACTTGGGGGGAAATAATAAAAGCAGAATTCAAGTGCAGCTATATTTTTATCACTTATTATTTATATTTTTTTTTATAAAAGTCAGGCATATACTTATATACACACACGAACTTGATAAGCCCGTAAATAGAGCATTTTGTAAGCCTAATGTATCTGAGCTTAATGAGCAAACGATCAAAGAAAACCAAGTCGGTCCCATTTTATTGCTTGCTGAGATATAAAAAATATATGCATTGGTTTACCTCCGACACCAAGTGGTTTTCAAGGCGATAATCATATTTAATATTCCCCCAAAAGCCTCTTCTCGTATACATAACTTGACGAGGTCTTTGAACATTTTCTAAATAGGAAACATAGCGTTGCCTTGAACATATGGGACTAGCCAATGCATTATCAATGATGGCCAAATAAAAAGCCACAAAAGCCCAGACACTGAGATTCATCGTAGCGCTTATTTTATATTTCACAATTTGGCTTTGTTATGTTTTTGTTTTCTTCTACAAATTAGTTTGTTTGGACAATCCGTTGTTCACAGCAAAGCGCACAGAATAATACTGATTTGAGACTGAACAAATATCTGAAATTGTAGCTCATAAAACCCACGCGTCTTCTTTTTGATAAACTAACCGAATCCGAGAGCTCAGCTCAGACGATTAACCCTCTCAGCTTTTATGGTAGCTTTTAAACACAGAATAGACTTCATGTTCTTCGAATATATATATATTTTTTGGTCTCACTCTTTGCTGATTTAGAAATTTGAGGCAATTTTGTTTTGTGGCTAAATGCAAGTAAATTATACATGAGAAGGATCTGTAGATGGATTTCTGAACATTTGAATGTCTTGCTGGAAAAGTTTGCCAACAAGTGGTTAAGGCTTTATATCATTCTAAGTGCTCTTGAAATATATACTCGTAGTATTGTTTAGATAACAACAACGCTTTTGTTTTAAAGTTATCGAAAGCGTATTCCACTAATCACTAATTGTCTTTGGAGTTCTAATTATACTTATACTTTACTTATACTTTATTTATACTTTACTTATACTTTAAATATACTTACTTATACTTTACTTATACTTTATTTATACTTTACTTATACTTTACTTATACTTTGCTTATACTTTAAGTAAAGTTATACTTTACTTATACTTTGCTTATACTTTATTTATACTTTACTTATACTTACTTATACTTTACTTATACTTTATTTATACTTTACTTATACTTACGTGTACTTTACTTATACTTTATATATACTTTATAGCATCGGAGGTGCTTCCTTTTGCCTTGCATACACTTTGCAAATATACTCTTTTTGCCATTCGAGTACAGAGTATAAAAAGCTACCTTCCTTTTATGGAAATCCTCATCTGTTAATAATTCATTCATGATTTTGAAGGTTTAGCTGTTGTGTCAGGTTTTCTGCTTTATTTTGAGACTATTACTATCCTAATTTTTAAATACTTCCACTCCACATAATTTAAAACTTATTTTAATTGAAATCCACTGAATAATTTTCGTAAGATTGGACATTTTTCCAGATCCTATTCCGTTAAGCAACAGTGTCTAGCAATATGGTCTCTCTTCTCTCACAAATATTGCCGAATCAATTGTTGGATAAATAATGATTACTTCCACCTATTTATAAGCGCCATCTCAGCAATGCATCGTGTTGCTCACAATTACTTCTAACATTACTTTGTTGCGACTAAATCTAAGGATTTGTCTTATTTTTTTGTAGATGCAGCCAATCGAGCGCATAAAATAAACGCCGAGACGAATGTCGTTTTATTTTGCGTCAACAATTCCGTTGAAGCTTCTCCTTCAACTCCGCAGACCCACAAAAAATAACAACAATTCTCGCAGCTAGACGAACGTGGCTAAGGACTAAGGACTTACCACTTAGTGTCCATTTTTGTTGTTTAGGTTATCGTCAGCTTTGTCCTGCTGCTTGCATACACTGCAACTCACATTATGAGAGAGTACATGAGTTTTTTGAAAGGGTATTTATCACATATAAAAAAAAAACATGGTGAGCTACTACTTTATGGGTAGATTTGAAGAGCCTAAGTAACTAGTGATATGCCGATATATAGGCATATTATATTATTTATTTTATTTTATGTTTATTTTATTTTATTTAATAAATCAACGAATAGTGCTGTCGATACATAGTCAAAAACTATGATTTATATTAAAATATAATATTATAAAATAATATAAAGATATTTAATAATACAACGTTATAATTTCAACTTAAAAGATAAGAGAGATAAGCCTAGGACTTAGAAAACTATATAATAACGTCTTAACATTATTAATTGTCTAAGGTAGAGTAAAAGGAATATTAATAGAAGAACTCCAAAAGAACTTGGGAGTGCTATCGTCAAACACATAATAACACTCTCTGATTTCGATTCGTAAAAACAATTTTTTGTTAAAATGTATTTGAGATATGTGAATTTTTGTGTTTTTTTTTTTGATTTTATTGTGATTTTAAAGAATATATTTTTCCTGAAAGAATAGATTTTATTTGAATGGGATTTGAGTGCATGTTCCACATTTGAAATAATTTTAAAACATGCTTTATTACTTTCAATTTTAAATATTGTTGGCAACCACGTTTCGTAGGTTTCATTTGATTAAATAATGCATAGGTTGTTAAATATAACATTTTAGTTAAAATTTTAGTTGCATATATTATTGTGTAAGTATGAATATTAAGCTGGCATTATCGTGAAAAATTACCAGAAAAATGATAAATATAAGTGAACTTAATCAAATGCTGAGGCTCACGTTTAGATTATATTACATCGAAAACTTATTAACCAACTATTTAGGAACAAGCTAGATTTTAAGTAAAAAGAAGTGAGAAAGAAATGCTTAGACCCCAACGATAAATGTACATAGACTACATATATTTAGGATATTTTATATACATACAAATATAGTATGGACAATGCAGATTTTTCAAATAAGTGCTGAAGGTCCTTTCCTTTCCCTTGTAGTTTGATTATGCCAAAATACCCTTTTTTGTGCTCTCCTTCACTGTAAATGTTTGTTTTTGTTCTCTGTATAACTGCTGAAATAACTCCTGCATATATATTTATATTAACTTATTGAAAATGTTTTAAATGTAATCATGAATATTAATTGTTATATACAGGCCTTCACTTAAATTATATCAATCACTATTGTTAGCTGAAAATATTTGACAGAAATTCCGTTTTAAATTCACAATTTTGCACGCATTAGTGGCTTAATAGCTCAGCTCAGTGTAAAAGTAAAGTGTATGCCAGAGTCGAGTTGGTTCGACTACAGTTTTCTATTTAATTTCGGTTGCTTTAGTCATTGTCTGCAGTGGAAAATCCAAGGGGTAAATTATTGAAATTTGACTCGGGCCCAGACTGAGAGGGTGGTAGCCGCTGGTCAGCATCAATTTGTTCTGAGAAATCGAATTAATTAACAACGATATTGCGACTCTGGAGGGCGGACAACTAAAGGCTGCGCCCTTGTCAACATGCCTAATTGTAGTTAATTAATTTCTTTTTTATCGACTATTGATTATTTATACCAAATCTTGTCGTTAGTACGAGTATATCTTTAGATTGTGCCTTCGGTAATGGATTTGATGTAATAATTATAAATTGTTGAGTTTCTTTTGAACTGATGGCGGCGGAAAATTGGGTGGCAAGCAGCAGCTTCGATAGGGAACAGTAATCTGTATACGATTATTTATAATATTTTTATTTATTTATCACATTTTTAAGTCAACAAACAAGTGTGGAAAAGATTTATTAGCCCGTCCGGCAAGCTATGCCTCGTTGTTCTCTTTAAAATCCGTCAGAATATTTCTTATATATGCAAGTAGCATTAAGAGCGAAGAAAACATTGCCTGCCAGCTTATTTAATTTATAATTAGAAAACATTTTTACCTTCTTTGGCCTGTGCTTAGAAATTTACGTTAACAAGTGTATATTATAAAGTATGGATTTATTTATGATTTTCAACGTTAAGAGAAGAGAAAGAAAGTGAGATGTGTATATAGACTATATAAGACCATTCACAAACAAAGCACTTTTGTTTTTATATAATAAAATAAGTCACGAGTACATCTCTGCTTTAAGCCACACTTGCTGCCTGCCACTTCCTGTAGTC